AACTCCACGAGGTGAGATCTTGCATGGAACCCCAGGCCGAGGGAGATTGACAGTTCTTTTGTGTTTCTTCCATTTGCGAATAATCGCACCAACTGTTGTCACCTTCTCACCAAGCTGCTTGGCAATGGTCTTGTAGCCCATTCCAGCCTTGTATAGGTCTACAATCTTGTCCCTGACATCCTTGGAGAGCTCTTTGGTCTTGGCCATGGTGGAGAGTTTGGAATCTGATTGATTGATTGCTTCTGTGGACAAGTGTCTTTTATACAGGTAACGAGCTGAGATTAGGAGCACACTCTTAAAGGGAGTGCTCCTAATCTCAGCTCGTTACCTGTATAAAAGACATCTGGGAGCCAGAAATATTTCCGATTGAGAGGGGGTCAAATACTTATTTCCCTCATTAAAATACATTAAAATGCGTTTTTCTGGATTTTGTTGTTGTTATTCTGTCTCTCACTGTTCAAATAAACCTACCATTCAAATTATAGACTGATCATTTTTTTGTCAGTGGGCAAACGTACAAAATCAGCAGGGGATCAAATACTTTTTTCCCCTCACTGTATTCACCAACACACCGGTGTGCTGTACTAGTAACGAATTGGAATGTCTTGTTTACCTGACCAACCCTACTATCAGTGGCTGTGTCGGGCGGTGGTGGGGTTTAACGGCACTTTTATATTTACGCGATCTAACCCTCCAAAAGAACCCCTCCTATGCATAATCACTTTGCCCTCTCCAACCACGAATAACTCTTTATCTAACTGGCCCTCTCTCTATGTACAGTGAAGAAGGGCCATTGCCTAAAACGTCGCCTGATATTTACATTTTATCTTTTCAGGCGACACAGCGTCAATGATGCGCGTGTTGACAACGCTTTTGGTTCTTCGTGCTTGCCAACCGCAGCCAACGGAGCGGCATCACCGAATAATATCGTGAACATTTTCCATAAATGAGCGTGCAGTCAGTGGCGGCCTCTCGAAGCTCAATCATTTCTGAAGAGAACGCGTTGAGACCGATAGCTCTGAGAAAAAAACAATATGGTTCGGCCATCCGGGCAATGTGCATCCCTTTGTTCTGATGCGCAAAACAAATTAACTCCAGCAGCACTGGGGGTTGGGGATGGGGGGGGGGTGGTCTCAATATAATGTGGCTCTCAGCTTCCCCCTGTGGGTCTGTCTCGTTTTGTTACCGTTTCACCAGTTTGATGTGCGTGTGTTTTTAATTCCAGCTCCCATGGAAACATTGGGCCAAAGTAGCAAAACCCAGTTCACCTTTTGGTTGTGTCAATTCACGAATCGTTGATGCAAATCTGGATTTGATTTTAAGTCGATGCCTCTGTGTGTGTGTGTGGTGTAGTGGTTAGCGCGTCGCGCTACGGGCCCGACGACTCGAGTTCGATTCCTGCTCACGGCCAACACCAGTGGCGATTTTTGGAACTGGTCCTGGGCCTCCCTTAGGTCGACTCAATTTTTTTAATGAGTATCTAGTGCAGTGTGTAAACATCGGCACTAGGTAGACAAAGTCGGTCGGGGCGTGATGCTGGCCACCCACCATTACAGCCGTAATGTGTGCTCGTTAACAGCACTTGCCCCTACAGTCTGTTAAGGCTATACGGGGGATTTTTGTCTTTGTTTTTCATCCCTATTGACAGCATCTTTCCTAATGCATGTGCAAAACGGGAAACCCAGTTCACCTTTGTTAGCTGCTTGTATGACTGCATTATACCCCTCTCTGGTCTTCGCACCTGATAGGCTCACAGGGATGACATCAGTTTTATTCCCCTAAGACCGAAACAGGAAGATTTCCTCACAATTCTGGCAAAGTCGCCTGATGAAGCTGATGGTTGGAATCGCCAGCGAAAACGTCGTTACTCGAATTGTAAATGTTGTGGGTCTACTCTCCAACACAACCGGTGTGCTGTACTAGTAACGAATTGGCACGTTTTGTTTACGTGACAAACCTTACTAATTGGCTGTGTCAGTTGGTGGCGGGTTTAACGACGCATTTATATTTGCGCGATGTAACCCAACAACAAAAAAAAAACCTCTTATGCTTGAGACGGTTTCTGTCCGGCCTGCTTTGCTTCGGTATCTTTATTCCTCCCGTCATTGCGAAAGGCGGTTTGACTTGCGACGTAAGCGAACGTTGACGGCACACGCTCGCCTAAAAGGCGCGCTCGCATCAACGATAGGACCCGTGACCGAGCCGAGTCGTACCCTTGCCCTCATCCCTCTGCGATTCAACGCGTGAATGGGGGGGGGGGGGGGGGGGGGGGCAGCCGCCGGAGGAAACGTTGCGTTTGATTTTATTTTTGCAGGCGTGCGTACGACCCTACCACGGTGGACATTTAACTGTTCATTATTATGGGATTGGGATTTCGGTTGTGGAAGAACTGTAAGTAATCATTTGGTGAGTTTCTTAAAATTCCTGCTGGTGCAAATGCAGCTTTCATTTTCCCCTGGGTGGAGGGGGGGGGGATGAGTGCTGCATGATGATGACCGCCTATTGAAAAGTCAGTAGTACTTAAAAGTAAGTAGTCTTAAATGAGAGATTGGTCGCTGCCATAGGAATGTGGAATTACCACTACTGTTTCACGACACAGAGATGAACACTGCGCAGGATGGTTGTGACACGGGACTGTGTGATCTCTATTCTTTGGGTCTTTTGGTAAAGTCACGTAGATAGCAGGGACGTGCGGTCAGGGGAGGCAGGGGAGGCAGAGAGCCTCAGCTGTTATACTGCAATGAAAATAGCTGTTACGAAGAGTAAAAGGAAAAGAATAATAAAGTAACATCAATATTAAGATTTTTCCACTGATCTGTGCTCTAAATGTCATTTCTGTACGATTCCAATGATTTATATAGTCAAAATCGCCAAATTTGTGGAGCTTCGCTGCAAATACAGAGGGAGACACGAGAGGTGAGGCAGTGACGAGCTCAGCCTCCCCTCTGATTGCGCAACCCCTCAGTAACTGGATGGAGCGCGGGCAATAAGCGCGTGCCTGTTACTATCTCAGTATGTCACCAATGTAATGTTTGTAGACCCCTTCATTTCATATCCTCGCCTTCCATACTCCAGGTAACTTATTTCACGTATGGGTATAAAGATATTTAGGCTCGCTGGTCTCGTCATGAAACTGCAATGAAAAAGCACCAGGGGAGGCAGCTATCACATCTGCCTCACTGAGGGGGACATGTCTAACAACACGCCCCCCTCTGTGAGGCCACGCCCCCTCAGTGAGGCCACGCCCCCTTCAGTGTGTGAATCTGGCTCTGACACTAGCCAGTGCCTCCCCAGCCATTGACCTCACCGCACGTCACTGGTAGATAGGTGACGTCACTGGTGACTTTACTGAAAGACCCAAAGAATATGAATTCCTGCATTCACGAAAGTTTTAAGTGTTTGATCCCTGTTAACACAACTTATGACGGGCGATTAAGGGTGACTGTGCTTATGTGTGGCAATGGATATGAACTCTGTTTAACCAAAAAATGGCTTTTAGATAACGTTTAAATAAATGAAGTGGCATCACAGTGTTGTGCATGGCGCCCACTGGTCCTGGGAGCGAGGCATGGGTGTTTGAAGCCCTTATCTCAACCATCTGGAGCTTTAACGGAATAGCCTAGCAAAGGCCTGATATAGAGCACACACACAGTTCCACTGACATTGTGCCGAGTTCATCACGTCTTCTTCGTCAGGCTTATTATTGATGTACAGCAACAAGCGATTTTACATTGAAGTAGTTGGGCCAGATGATTGCGTCAGGAGTAGCTGAGTGGTGTTGGAGTGTTGTATCGGTCGAACGTGGCCTCCTCCTCCTCCTCGGTATTTGTGAATCGGGCATTGAGCCGTCGTTATATGCTGCTTCTGTGTGGCCACTGTTGCACACCGATAGGTAGCGTGTGTGCGTGTGATAGAGAAGGGACAGATCTTGAATGTGACGTGGAATTTCCCTCCCATCCTATCTTTTCTTGCATTCTTGCAACCTCACCCAATTAAAGAAACCGATTAATTATTATATATTACACCTGTGTAGTAGACAACACCTGTGTAATAGACAACACCTGTGTAATAGACAACAAACAACACTACCTGTGGTAGTGTTGTTTGTTGGGGTCCATGCTCAGCAATCGTGTTTTTTTTATCAGTTGCTGTGTCACTGCTGGCTGTATGCGATTGTGAGATGTACTTGGGCAATGTTGACACTTCGCATGCAATGACCATAAAATATGTGCAATAAACATTTTAAGAATGCATGATGTCAGTCGACAACGAGGAAGCCATTGTGTGCCTTCATCATGGTCCAAGTTTGCCAAATATAAAAAAGCACTCGACAGGGATTGCACACGGCAGTAATCACCGTCCGCCTCACGGCAGACTGATGCCTGCTTGCAGGCCGGCGCTACGTCACCTTTTGTTGCACAGGGGCAGCTGCCGCTGGGGGTGCCCTTCTAACGTTTGCGATATGATGTGTTGTAGGGCACTTTCGAGTTGCTGAGGCTTTTAAGCAAACGCCACAGCACCCGATTTCCCCCCACGTGTTTGCACTTAGAAATTGGCCGATAACACTGTAACATATAGAGAGGACTGCAGAGCTTGGGCACATTTTGGCACCCGCTCACCGCGTGGCTGCCATGCCACTTGTGTTGTGTTTCCTCCTCGCGCCTCTCAGCCGTTGTCTCTCTCTACGAGAGCGAGCGAATAGTCTGCGGCGGCAGTGGCAAACGCAAATTAGGGCGTAGCCAACTTTATTGGCACGGTTGGCTACGTACGGTGCGAAAGAAATTAAACATACTTACAAGTTGAAGAATTGTCACATATATCGGTCCAGTAAAGATTACTTCGGCGGATGTTTACGACGTGGAATTTCCCCCCCCCCCCCACATCGTTACGGCGCGAAAGAAAGTCAACATACGTACAAGTTTAAATATTGCCGTGTACGCATCGGTCCGGTAGCGATTGTTTCGGCGAACGTCCGCGACGCCTTTGTCCCTCCCCCGCAGGGCAAGGCGCACCGCGAGCACCAGGTGGAACTACTGCGGCACCACCTGGGCCGCGTGTTCAGGCCCCGCGCGCGCCGCTGGCTCGTCCTCTTCCCCGAGGGCGGCTTCCTGCGCAAGCGGCGCGAGACGAGCCAGCGCTACGCCACGCGCCTCGGCCTGCCCGCGCTGCGCCACGTCACGCTGCCGCGGCTGGGCGCTGCCCACGCCGTGCTGCACACGCTCTCGCGGCCGCGCCCCGCGGCGGCGGCGGCGGAGGGCGCGACGCCCGCCAGCTCCTGCCTCAACGGGGGCGCGTGGGAGACGCCCAAGGACGGCACCCGCGGCGACGCTCGGGGTATGGCCGACTGCCTAGAGCCCCCTCGGGTGTGTGGGTGGGGGGTGGGGGGGGGAGTGCGGCAGGGCACCGCGACAGCGAAGGAGTGCCGATAGCTTTCGCGGGAATTGCACGTTTGTTGAGAACCGATTGGGGTGTGAAGGTGGCGACGGTAAGGCGATTTGTTACGAGCAGCGGTGCAGCCCTGCAGGCCCGAGCTCGCCGCCAATTCTGGTGGAAGCGCCTCCACTCCAGGGAGCTCGAGAAAGCCCCCCCCTTTCCCCCCCCCCCCCCCTGCCCCGAGGGTATTTTGGCAAAAATCTCCCAAGCTGGCCAGTACGTCTTGGAAGAGGTGGAAGTACCCACGGTTTAACCCAACCGTGCGCAACCTGCCAATCGATTATAATCTGTGGTCCACGCATCTACACTGCTCGGTGGGTGAGGGCCCCGGGGGGGATTTCGGAAACTTGCACCATTGTTTCACCTGCCGCCCCGGGAGATTGAACGGGCCCACTGTAGATAGCAAGTCCAGTGCGCTGACCATTGCACCACAGTCGCGCGTCTCTCTTGATCTCATCATGAATTGCGCTTAATTGTATCCTCTCAACGTAAAGACGTTTCAAACGTTTTTTTTATGTTTTCCAGGTAATATATAATTTCGGATGGTGTTGTTGATGTTTTGATTTTAAATCGCGAGAAATAAATGTGCTGTGGACAATTATATTCAGTCACCCAATCAAGGTGGGGGCAGTTGTAACCCTCACAGCAAGAAGTTGCTGGGGTTCGAATTCCGACTGGTGTCTTTCTGTGTGGGGTCAGCATGTTCTCCCTCCGTTTTGTTCGGGGCTCCTCCGGGGTGTTGTTCTGGTTTTCTCCACACGCAATGTCATTGGTATTGGCCAAACATCCCAATGCTGAAGGATTACGCGCAACGTTCGACTCAGTGGGGATCAAACGGAGCAGCAACATCGCCCCCTGCCGTGACAACTTGGCTGAACCCTTGGTGTTGAAAGAGTGGGTGAGACTTTTTGCCGGGTTTATCAAGCGCAACCGTAGTAATAATAATAACGGCGACGTAAAGGTAACTCTCGATGATCCGTGCGTCCATCGGTTAACTGCGCAAAGCGTTCGTGACTCGGTGTCGGCGTCACCACAAACATTTCTAGACAAGCGACCCGATTGCTCCAACAAGTGATAGCAGCAGTCCACGCGCCCTACTCCTTCGCCACTCTATTCTACGTAAGGCAGACGCTTTATTTAGATGACGTCGCCGAATGTACAGGTGTTGTGCAATATCCGCCTTTCTATTTTATCCTCCTAAACTGAAACTAAACCGTTTTTATTTTACCAGGCGAAGGCCCACTGAGCTATGTAGCTGTTTTTCAGACGCGACCTGGCCACAAATGATAGCTCAACGGAGTGGCTTATTCCATGGAAATGTATAGCAGCCACATTCTCTAAACGCGTGTTGATTTTAAATGTGGAGGAGAAAACCGGAGGACCCGGAGAAAATCCACGTGACCATGGGGAGAACACGCAAACTTCAAATATACAGCAAGCGTCAGGGTCGGGATCAAATCCACGACCTCCTGTATATCAGGCGAAGGAGATAACATCTGACCACCACGGGCCACTCCTCCCCCCCACTATTACCCTTGATAATCAAGAGCTGACTGCGGATGTACGCTATCGCTCCGTGAAATTGACCCACCAATAACAAATATAGTTTTACTAAAAAATGGGTACTGACGAAAAATTGGACACCTAGAATTTGAATTCCGTGACGAGTACTGGTGTTGGTGCCGGCCGCGTGGGAGCCAGTCAGCTCGTTTAGTCAACCCTTCGACACTTCACGTGATAGCCTCAAAGCGCACCTGGCGTGGCACAGGTGCCATGGTGACGTCAACCGCCACTTGGTGGCGAACGGAGGCTGTCGCTGTTGCTCTTGCTGCTGTTGCTTCTGCGGTGGAGCCTCGTTTGCGTAGCGCGCGCGGTGCCGATACGCGGGGCCTCGAGGTGCCGTTGTCGCTGTCCCCTCAGGCGCGACGGAGGCCGGCATGCGGTGGGTGATCGACGTGACCATCGCGTACCCCAATGCGGATCCCATGGACATCCAGACGTGGGTTCTCGGCTACCGGCCCCCGATAACCACGCACGTGCACTACAGGTCAGACCCCAGCCGCTCGCGTATGTGTCGGCCGTCCTCGCCACACACGTCGACTGTTCGTCTGTTCGTCGAGAAGGAACGTCGAAGCGTTTGATACCAGTAGGAATGGTGGCATCGCTTGGTGTGTGCCCCGGTTGACACCAGTGGTCTACGGCAGAGCTCAAAACCCTTCTGTCATTTCCCAAGATTCGGTACAATTTGGAATTAGATGGATTTTGTTTGGCCATCACATTTTTTGGCTCGCCATCAAACAAAGACGGCCACTGTATTGCGCCACTTTCAGATGCGCTTCTGTGCCCGTCTGGAACGCTCTTACTTCTGATATTGGAGGCCACTGGAGCAACACACTTTTAAATCGTCTAGATTGAATAGTCATTTCTTTAGAACGGCTTTTTGTGTTTCTTTCGTTGTCCTTCCCCCGCACCTCCGATTAGCACGGTTGGCCACGTACAGTGTGAAGGAAGTTCAACATACACACATTTCTCTTTTATGTGTTTAGGCTAATGTTCAAGTTAACGTCAAGCATTTGTGTCTTTCATTGGCAAGTACAATCGTTTTAGTTTGTTGAGCTTAATAAACAGTAATGAAGAAAAGCTTATTCGGTCAGAAGATGTCGGTTTTGATCAATCTACACATACCTGTGGTTTTAATGTATAAAAAGCGATACATTATTCACTTGTGTTCTCTTAGACCGCATATTCTGTGTGTGTCTTACGAGCTAAATCTGTTTGAATGCACCGTGTTTGGTGATGTATATTTCCCCTTGTTGTAAATAACCGGGGAGGTTATCCTCAGTTACAGGGTTGTTGTGCACGGTGTGTAGGTGGTTGCCTTCTGTTGCAAGTCTCTTAGTCGTGCTTAAGATGTGAGGCTAGGATCTGTGTTGGATTTTTAGATTATATTCGTATGTAAATTTTTTTATCGTTTTTATTAGTCCAATATTCATCCGGCGATATATTTCATATTAATTCACTTTACATTTTATTCCCAAAGCCTATTTTATAAACGATCATTATTTCAACTTTGATCCTTGACTGGAAAACAACTCTTATTGATGCAGACAACAGAGCAACACTGGCAGTGTGTGGTTCCTGTCGATTAAATTATGATAAGAATCACAATACCATCCATGGCATGTGTTTGTCAGCGGTAGGTGATGGGTTTTTCAGCTTTACAAATTTTTGTTTGAGAAGATTTTAACGATTCGAACACTTCCCTGTAATGACTTAAAAAGGCCCGGTTGTGGAACGGCCTGAGCCAGCTGGAGCACTGATTAACTGTGGTGGTGGCTGGGGGAAGTTCGTGAAGGACGCTGCTACTGGGCAGTTGGAGGCAGTCACCCTCCAGCAACAAGGAAGGCAGAGGAGCGACGCTCACAACGAGCTGAGCGCCCGGAGCGGCTAAAATGCAGCGAGTTGGCACAGTAGGGGTACAGCTGGTGCATCTACTGGTCATCTCAGTCAGCCAACCCATGGCCCCTGCTGGGTCTGTCGAGACCTCCTGTCAGCGAGCCTTCGACACTTCACGTGACCGTAAAGCGCACCTAGCCTGGCACAGGCGCCGTGGTGACGTCACCGTCACTAAGTGGCGATTGGCGGCTATTGGTATTGGTGGTGGCTGCTGACTTTGTGACTGAGGAGGCTGCAAGCGGCGCTGCGCACGTACGCGGAGCTGCTGTTTGTACGTGTGAGTGTACTGTGGGTTGAACTTCTTTCGCACCGTACGTAGCCACCAACTGTGCCAATGGGAGCTGCTGAGACCATCTCGCATCGTGGTCCCATGCCACACCAGTCTCCCCCTCCCTCTTGCCAGAGCTTCCCACTCATTGACGTCAATTTTAAAGTCTTTGAGATCATGGCACTTATTATAATAATGCCAATTATTTACCCAAGGAAGCCTCACTGAGTCTCAAGACTTAGTTTTTTTCAGGAATATGTTTTCCATTGTCAAGCCATTAGGATTTGGCAATTAAAATCTGTTGAGATACAGCTGAACTGAGACTTTAATATAAAACTAGATTGTATGGTATTGTTGGATTTTTGTCAATCCACTGCTGGATGAAAGCTTCCCCACATCACCTTAGTTGCGGGGGTGGGGGGGTGGGGGCTGTGTGACCATACTTCACCATGTTGGTCAGTGCATGGTGGTAAAGGGGGTGGGGAGGACAGGACTTATTCAGATATCGTTCGCCACTGATGTGAGCTGTGACTGGGAATAGAACTCGGCTGGTGGGATTGATAGTGCGGTGCGTTATCCGCTGTGCCACTGCAGCACCTCCACTCTTAATGGGGCCTACGTTTTTCAGTGACTAATTCAATCGTTCCCAAAGATAGCAGAAAACGTGAGCATGACTGAAGCAAAAATATCTAGATTCAGTCATGAGGATTATTTTTATCCTTACATATGTTTTATTCATAACGTCAAATTTATCTTAAAAATATTTTAAGCCTTCAATTTAGTTTCTAGTTTTTCTTTATTTAGGTCAGTGGTTCTCAGAGCGTGGTCCTCGGTTACACCATCACCAGCAGTTGGCGACGATCCTCCAGGTGGTCCACGGGGCTGTGATGCAAACGCAGCTTGATCCGGACAATAATGGCAACGTTTACCATGCCTTTTGTTATGGACATTAATGTATATTTTGTTCATGATATTTTATTTACAAATGAAGTTGGGTAAACTACCCTGATTAATCTACCCTAACCCTAAGATATAAATGTCCCTTGCCCCCCTTCCCCCCCCTAAAAAAAACAGTTACTTTTTTTTGTTTCGGTGATATGAATGTTGTACTGTTGGTATTTACAGAGAGCTGTGAATGCGTTTTATTGCCAGGGGTGCGGGGCTGGGTGGTGGTCCTTGGGAAATGTTTGTATCAGCTGAGCGGTCTGCGGTACAAACAAAGTTTGAGAATCACCGGTGTTTATAGTCACGACCTGTGTTGTATTAAAAGCAATACGAATCGTCTTTTCACGTGATTTAGTAGTCGGGCCGTGGTATGTATACGCAGCGGGTCTCCTCTTGCAAGTTCTGTATCCAAAGCATTTAACTCGTGTATTTATACCAATGCGCTTCACGGTAACGCTCCTCCACAGTGTGCGCCAAACAACTGTGGCATTTCTACCAATGAGTCCGTCCAAACTTCGGTGAACAGCTATCCATTCAGTTAAATATTAAACTTTATATTTGGTTGAGTAAAAAGAAATCCCTGCTACGTGGGGCGGCAATTGCTTTTCCGATGCAAAACAGTAACACCCCGATATATATACGCCCTCCCCGTTTTCCACACTTAGTCTGTAACGTCCTCAACTTACCGACACCCGATGCCGTTTTTTTACACCGCGGTATGATAAACTAATAATAATATAGTACAATAGACAAGGCAGCACGGTTGGCTACGTACGTGCGAAATAAGTTCAACATAAACATATGAAAATATTAATAATATACACTTTGCACACTGATGGTTGCACGGTATAGATGTGCAGTGGGTAATTGAGCATCCCGTTTAGGTTCTGTACCATGTTACGATCCACCATCCCATCGCTTTGCTGCGATATGAGTACCTACAGTGAGGGAAAAAAGTATTTGATCCCCTGCTGATTTTGTACGCTTGCCCACTGACAAAGAAATGATCGGTCTATAATTTTAATGGTAGGTTTATTTGAAGTGAGAGACAGAATAACAACAAATAAATCCGAAAAACGCATGTCAAAAATGTTATAAATTGATTTGCATTTTAATGAGGGAAATAAGTATTTGACCCCCCTCTCAATCAGAAAGATTTCTGGCTCCCAGGTGTCTTTTATACAGGTAACGAGCTGAGATTAGGAGCACACTCTTAAAGGGAGTGCTCCTAATCTCAGCTTCTTACCTGTATAAAAGACACCTGTCCACAGAAGCAATCAATTAATCAGATTCCAAACTCTCCACCATGGCCAAAACCAAAGAGCTCTCCAAGGATGTCAGGGACAAGATTGCAGACCTACACACGGCTGTAATGGGCTACAAGACCATTGCCAAGCAGCTTGGTGAGAAGGTGACAACAGTTGGTGCGATTATTCGCAAATGGAAGAAACACAAACGAACTGTCAGTCTCCCTCGGCCTGGGGCTCCATGCAAGATCTCACTTCGTGGAGTTGCAATGGTCATGAGAATGGTGAGGAATCAGCCCAGAACTACACGGGAGGATCTTGTCAATGATCTCAAGGCAGCTGGGACCATAGTCACCAAGAAAACAATTGGTAACACACTACGCCGTGAAGGACTGAAATCCTGCAGCGCCCACAAGGTCCCCCTGCTCAAGAAAGCACATACCTGCCCGTCTGAAGTTTGCCAATGAACATCTGAATGATTCAGAGGACAACTGGGTTAAAGTGTTGTGGTCAGATGAGACCAAAATGGAGCTCTTTGGCATCAACTCAACTCGCCGTGTTTCGAGGAGGAGGAATGCTGCCTATGACCCCAAGAACACCATCCCCACCGTCAAACATGGAGGTGGAAACATTATGCTTTGGGGGTGTTTTTCTGCTAAGGGGACAGGACAACTTCACCGCATCAAAGGGACGATGGACGGGGCCATGTACCGTCAAATCTTGGGTGAGAACCTCCTTTCCTCAGCCAGGGCATTGAAAATGGGTCGTGGATGGGTTTTCCAGCATGACAATGACCCAAAATACATGGCCAAGGCAACAAAAGAGTGGCTCAAAAAGAAGCACATTAAAGTTCTGGAGTGGCCTAGCCAGTCTCCAGACCTTAAGCCCATAGAAAATCTGTGGAGGGAGCTGAAGGTTCGAGTTGCCAAACGTCAGCCTCGAAACCTTAATGACATGGAGAAGATCTGCAAAGAGGAGTGGGACAAAATCCCTCCTGAGATGTGTGCAAACCTGGTGGCCAACTACAAGAAACGTCTGACCTCTGTGATAGCCAACAAGGGTTTTGCCACCAAGTACTAAGTCATGTTTTACAGAGGGGTCAAATACTTATTTCCCTCATTAAAATGCAAATCAATTTATAAAATTTTTGACATGCGTTTTTCTGGATTTTGTTGTTGTTATTCTGTCCCTCACTGTTCAAATAAACCTACCATTAAAATTATAGACTGATCATTTCTTTGTCAGTGGACAAACGTACAAAATCAGCAGGGGATCAAATACTTTTTTCCCTCACTGTACAATTTGCGTTGTGGCTTTCAGGAATGCATCCCGGGCGTAATCCAGGGTATGCAATACGCACTCTGCATCCACCCCGTCTCCTGCCACTGTCCCGGTGTGATGTGTGGTCTCGAGGAAAGGGCGCCACAGTGGCGAGATGTTAACTACCTCGCCTAGTATACAGGAGGTCGTGGATTTTATCCCAACCCTGACGCCTGTATATTTGGAGTTTGCGTGTTCTCTCCGTAGCCGTGTGGATTTTTCTCCGGGTCCTCGGGTTTTCCCCTCCACATTTAGAAACATGCGTTTAGGGTATTTGGCCGCTATAAATCTCCACCTGATAAGCCACTTTGTTGAGCTGTCATTTGTGGCCAGGTCGCTTCTGAAAAATAGCCGTATAGCTAAGTGGGGCCTTACCTGGGAAAAAAAAAAGTTAATATTTTTGAGTTTGAACCTACCCTTTAAAGTTGCGTTTCGTTCATGCCTGATGTATAGGAAATATATAATTTGCTTTTGAATAAACATAAATATCTGTAAAACTTTATCCTCGAAGAGTAACGATGGGAGTGGCAGCCGAGGAGTGGAACGCGACCGAGAGAGGACGTCCACCCGGAAGATGGAGCGATGAAATCAATGCCGGGTCGATAGCAGGATCGTTGTTTTCCTCTACATTTAGTAATGTGCTTTTAGAGTATTTGGCTGTTATACTTTTCCACGCGATGATGCGCCACTTTGCTTGAGCTATCATTTGTGAGGGCCAGGTTGCTTCTGAAAAAAGAGCCTAATAGCTCAGTGGGCCTTACCTGGATGAAATAAATAAAAAATCGTTTGTAAAATAGTTTACCAGGTTCAATCTACGCTGTCGTTTAAAATGCTGCTGCTTTGCTGTTGCCGTTGCCCAGGCTTTACCCGGTGAGCGAGGTCCCACTTGAGATGGAGGCCCTCACCAAGTGGATGTACCAGCGCTTCATTGAGAAGGAGCACCTCCTGGACTACTTCTATACGACCGGTAACGCACCGCACGATATCCGCTCGCTCTCAAAGAGAGAGAACGAGGCAGTCAGGTGGTACGCTGGTGCCAACTATTGCCCAAGCTCTGCAGTCCCCTATAATGTTATCAGGTAATGAAAGAGCGTTTTCATGTGGGAGGAAATTGGAGCACCTGAAGATAAACCCACGCGTTCGAGGGGGCAACGCTCTATCCCCGTTGAGCTGGAACAGGTGGAGTCCACGTTTTTATAGTACTGCCATTAAAGTGTGGCCACTGGTCATAATCGTCCAAAGAATGAATGAGCATAGTACATACAAGCTGCGTGATCCAAGGACAGCTTTCGGTCGAGACTGGATAGCAGCAGCAATTGCAAGAACCAATTCCTTTTCCCCTAAAATGTCAACTTTTATCAAATACAAATTGATCAGGAGCGAACGAAGCCTCCCCCACAGCGGCGGGGTGTGGCTGCCCGTTAAGCACCATTATGGTCCCTGGCAGCCTAATCCCAATCGAGATCAAGTACGGCGACGCTGCTGGCTTAATGTACCGCAGAAGTGGCTTCAGATGAGCGGTTGGGGGGTCATGTTCAGGTCACGTTTAAAGCTCTCAAGAGGCCACAAGGATTCTTTCGCAAACACAACAACCAGCGGTGCCTGGAGTGTTGCTGATCTTGACTTCAGTGTAGTCGAGACTAGGACATGTGAATCTCATCATGCTGCTAATAATAATCACATATTTTATTTATAGGGTGCCTTTGATACCACGATGTCCAAAGCCGCTTCACACATTTTAAGATAAAAACATTTTAAGATAAAAAAAAAACATTTTTCCGATAAGACATTTAGAAACACAAATGTTGGAAAACGCTCGTAAAATAATAACATCACTCAAAGGGAAGGAACGAATTAACAAAGCGGTACAATAACACGAAGATGGCGGGATGAAATCAGAAATTGATTTGAATGCTTACGGCCTCGGAGGTGCAGCTGTCACAATCACCGTGGTGAGCGTCGATTCCTGCGCTTCCACGTCTGCGGCACGGTTGCACACGCGCGCAACCGTGCCGTGTGTGCGTTGCGTCCGATGGGAACGAGGTCACCGCAAGGGGGGGGCTTCCGCTGCCTCATCGGGAAATGCATTTGCGGACAATAAGTAAATAATTAAACGGATATGGTGTTTGTATGCAACAAAACATTTCTGAAAGATTAATGCACGTTTCCTGTGTTGATGTTCGTTCAAGCAAATAATTATATATATTTTTTTATATACGTTTGCATTCAATGCCTTCCCTTGTTTCATGTTTACTTTTATTTGGCTATTGCAGCGTTTATCGGTCTTATGAGCTGCAAACAGCCAACGGTTCTGCAAAAGTGACCTCGGGAGTGCACAAATGGCCTCCAAGAGAGCGTTTCCCCCTCGCACAGCGTGGGTTTCCTCTGGCTGCTTCGGTCTCCTCTCACATTTACGCACTCGTTCATTTCCCGACAACACCGAGGGCCACGGAGCTTGGGCAATAATTGGCGCCAGCTCACCGCGTGTCCTGCTGCCTTTCCCGCTCGTCCGTGGTTCCTCCTCGCGGCCTCATAGTCGCTCTCCCTTTCTCTCGCTCTGTGCGCACGAGAGCGAGCAAGTGACCGCACGGTTGGGAGCGTAACAAAGTTTTTAAGCCGGGGGTGGGGAACCTTTTTTCTGCCGAGGGCCATTTGGATCTTTATAACGTCATTCGCGGGCCATTCAAAATTATCAACTTTAAAATTAGCCTGTTATATTTGGTCAAACATTTAATTAACTCACCCCTAATGCGATGGCTGGAACTGCTTCTCTTTGGCGAGGCATGTGATGTTAGCCGGTATTGATGATGTTGCTACTCGCAACTGCTTTTGCAGGTTTGCTCCTAGATCTATTGAATTTCGAGTCCCGCCTGCGGTTGCCTTGGCAGGGCCACACCAAATGATTCCGCGGGCCTCAAACGGCCCGCGGGCCGGACGATCCCCACCCCTGTTTTAAATGAACATTCTGACTCCGCGCAAGCGACGTTGCGTGTGCGCGAGCGCCGTGTACCCGTCTAACCAAGGGATCGTCTGGGCACGCGCGCCGCCTCTCCCGTCCATCTCGCAGGAGCGTTCCCCGCGCAAGCCGGTGAGACCGGGGATGCCCCGTCGCGAGCCATGGTCCTCGACCCCTGGTGGCTGCTCATGTGTCAGCTGTGGTGCTTTCTCTCGGGCTACATGTGGTTCAGCCTCCTGCGTTACATCTGCTACGGCTTCATCTTATAGAGCCCCGGGACAACTTCGCTCGCCTGCGCACGCGCCAGACGGGCCGGCCGCAGTGGCGGTGGGCAAGACGGCGACGACGACATCAGCAGCAGCAGCAGCAGAAAACATAGCAGCGGTGAAAACCTGGCTCTGGAACTGCCTGCGTCGCTGCAATAAATACCCAGAGTAGATGGACAAACTGTGTGTGGCAGAGGATCGCTGGATCTTTGGGGCAAGTGCCACTGCCGAGCGTTTGCTTTCCGTGGATTGGACCAACGGCGCTCGTAGCTGCATTCGAATTCCTCGGCGTTGGCATTGCCACCATCGGAATGTCCGTTTTTTTTAATTTCAGACCAAGCCTGGCAATTTCTGGGAGAAAACCCGCTCCTCCACGCGGGAAGTGTGAATTTGCAAGCCGGGAGTGTTGGAGCGTGCAAATGAGAGCCCAAAACCTGGACCTTCGTGGCTGCCAGTGAAAACGATGCTTGCACCGCCCCACTGCTGCCCCCCACTTCCTACCCTGAAGAAGAAAATGAAGCCAGTAATTTAAATATAATTTGAAACATTTCTTTTTCTGTGTCAAAATGAAAAGGGTGTGAAGTTACAAAAAGGTCTCTTCCGTCATAAGCTGAAAAGTTTGTATGAAGCCCAGAGGGTGGTGTACGGATGCGTGTGTGTGTGTGGTGTACGGACAAGTGTGTGTGTGTGTGGTGTACGGACGAGTGTGTGTGTGTGGTGTATGGACGAGTGTGTGCATGGTGTTCGGACGCGCGTGTCCATGGTGTAAGGATGCGTGTGTGTGCGTACGTGTGTGTGTGCGTACGTGTGTGTATGCTGTGTGTGTGTGCTCACTGCGTGGGGAGTGGGAGTGTCGTGGTTAGCACCACTGCGCTACGAACCAGGCACTAGAGAGTAATTTTGTTTGTGTTTGGAGACCTGGAGTGGCGTTCTGCTTCTCTGTGCTTTTGTGCGCGGGGTGTTCCAGCGGTGCAGAATGAGTTCGGCGGATACAACATTGATTTTCGCATTTAACAGGGCCTCACGGTTTAGACAGTGCTCTTTCCAATATACATCTGGTAACCCCCAGCAGTTGTAATAAGCCTGACCCTACTGATGAGACACAGCAGGTTGAAACTGGCCCAGAGTTGTCTTGCTTATAAATGTAGTGCTACTGGGTAAGATTTGGTCTGTGGGGAATGCATCTGAATGTGGAGACGAGACCAAGTGGAGTTCTGCTTATTTGTACTTTTGCTCTTTGTAGCAACCCAATAGAGTGGTCATCCTATGGATAGACTCGTCCCTACCATAAGAATGTGGAGTGTACACCGCTGACTTGGAGCTGTAAACTCTAGACAGGAGACGATTGCCCCCCCCCCCACATCCTTCTGCTTTTTTCGCACCGTATATAGCCAACAGTGCTAATCGGAGGTGCGGGGGAAGGACCACAAACTAAACACAACAGCAAGCAGTTCTAAAGAAATTAGTTTTCAGTCTAGATGATTTAAAAGGGCACAGCTCCAGTGGCTTCCTAATATCGGAAGGAAGAGCGTTCCAGACGGCCGCAGAAGCGCGTCTGAAAGCGCGCGATACCAGTGACCGTCTTTGTTAGATGGCCGGCCAAATTCCACTGCTGCTGCTGCTGCTGCTACGAGGATGACCCAAGTTCACCAGCACAGCAGTGGTGCAAGCAATAACTTGTATGACTGTACCGTTACCGTTATCTCCTTCGTCGTCTGGAAGGGAGCGTGTGACTGCGAGAAGAACAAGCCCAAGGGGGTATCTCGTCAGTTCACTTGACCTCTCGGGTCGACCTCTTGGTTCAGTTGACCTCGGTGCGACGACGCGCGTCGAAGCCCCGGAAGCTTTGGGGTCACCGATGATGCGAACTCCGTCCATCGGTTAGCACGTAGATTCGGCGTCACTGCGCCGCTCGTGCCATCACTGACCACGACCGCCACTCTCAACGGCGGCTAAATTTCACCAAGCATTTCATTAGTACGCCGGTATGTTGATACGTTAATTGGTTCAGACGATTGTTTACGGACATTCGGCGTCATTTAAAGGGGTAAAATGAACACACACAAACAGCGAGCCTTTCATTATTCACGTGTACCCAACTTTAGCATTGTTAGCAAGGTAAGAGGGGGGGGGGGGCTGATTAAAACCGCGAATGTTCGAGCAAAGCTGCCGTTCAACGTGACGGTGAAATCCCCACCACGACCGGCGTCGATCCCAGAGTCGTTCAGAGCGGCTGCGACGTGGCTAACAAATCGCGACCTCAGCCAGCGGCAACGTTTCGTTGGACACGCCCCCCCCGCCCCCCCCCCCCCCCCCCCCCCGTGGCTGTGAATGCAGCATTGCGAGCTCAACGTTGTTCACTGCGGTTGCCCAAAAAAATGTATCCAACCACTGCCGTTTGCAATTTGAAGGATTGTTTAACGGGCTGACGATATGGACAACAGTCGTGATTCACCAGGTCCAGAGATTTGGAAGCCACCACAACCCCTGATAAACAATATTCACCAGCTGCCCCCTACCGTCCAAAACACATTCACAAATATAAGCCCCCTCCCTGTCCACACCATGCATGTGTTTGGGGGGGTTTCGCGTACGCACGCACGTCCTGTTCGTAGCACCGCTGTTTGTGTCTTCGAGGGGATGGGGGCGGTGAGGGTGGGAGGGGGTGACGTGCCCGTTTGTGTTCGGAGCTGCTCGTGGGCACGTTTGCAGGCCCGCTCTGTGTGCGCGCAATGCTCGCGGGGGTCACGAGGTCATTGCGTGTCCGAGGCTGCGCGTGGTCGGGGGCCCCACGTTACCGACCGCGTAGGGGGGGGGGGTGGGGGAGCGATAATAGCAGATTCACGTTCCAGTGAAACTATAAACACACCTTGGCGTCTTTTTTTTGCCCGACCGTTGGTAAATGGAGACGTTGGCGTCGTTCTGCCACTGTCCTCCGACGCGTGGATCGATCCCCAAGTATGAGAGAGCTGTTGAAGTGGTGTGAGCCTGCGTTGTACACACGCCTGTCTGGTCGCGGTGGATGACTGCCAGCGCACGCACGTGCCGCTTGTACGAGTGTCCCACGACCCCCCACCCCCCCCCCCCCTCTTGGCAAAGCTTGATGCATTTAGTTCCCCACGGCACTTTCTCCCACTGTCTGGCTCTTTGTGTGTGTGTGTGGTAACCATGGTGGCGAGATGTTAACTACCTCGCCCGGTATACATGAGGCCATGGGTTCGATCCCGACCCTGATGCTTGCTGTATATTTGGAGTCTGCATGTCTCTCTCCCTGTGGTCGAGTGGATTTTTTTTTCTGGTCCTCCGGTTTTTCCCTCCACATTTAGGAACGCGCGTTTGGAGTATTTGACCGCTCTACATTTCCACGTGATAAGCCACTTTGTTGAGCTGTCATTTGTGGCCAGGTCGTTTCTGAAAAAGAGCCATACAGCTCAGTAGGCCTTACCTGGTAAACTAAATAAAAAATTGTTAATAGTTTTGAGTTTGAACCTACCCTTTAAAGTTCAGTTTCGTTCATGCCTGACGTATAGGAAATATATAATTTGCTTTTGAATGAAAATAAATATCTGTAAAACTTTATCGTCGAAGAGTAACGATGGGAGTGGCAGCCGAGGAGTGGAACGCGACCGAGAGAGCTCGTCCACCGAGAAGATGGAGCGATGAAATCAATGCCGGGTCGATAGCAGGATCGTCAGATATGGCGGCGACTTTGGGGGAGGCCTTCATCCAGCAGTGGATCGGCCAAAAGCTGGCGATGATCATGGTAATGAGCCAGAGACTAAATATCGGTACATTAATTTAGCAAGGAAGTTGATCCGTGAACATTTCATAAACTGATCTGAATTTTGGCCCAGGTGTTGTTCTGCACACAAACCAACCAACCAGGCTTGACGACAGCAAAGTGCGTCCGCATGAAATCATTTGCTTATCAGCGTCTGCGTGTGCGTGCAGATGTGCCGGTGTGCGTCTTTCCCGTGAGGCCGCCTGAGGAATGCCACCCCCATGTGGTGGCATTCCTGCTGCGGGACGCGTCTGTCTTCGCCTGCGGATGAGTGTAACGATTGCGTATGCAAAGTGCGGTTGTTGTACATGTGTGCCTGTTGTTTTTTGGCGACGAAGATTGGGTATACGAGTGTAGCGGTTGTGTACACGCACGCACGCATCCCACGAGTAATGCTACTCGCGCTCACAAGCTGGATTCACACTGGATTCACACTGGGTCTTTGAACGCACATAGCGTAATTGCCACCTCGGTGACATCACGCTTGGGGTGGCAGGGTTAAATTCACCTCGATAACAGAACTGGCGGGACCGATCGAGGCGAGGGCTCCGAAAGTAAAATCGCCGCACACGCCCCAATCGCGTGACGCGCCACCGACCCGAACGCTCGGTGCCACCCGCTTTGCCCGCGGGTTAATTTCGTGGGCAACCCGAGGTGGCAACGTAGCGCGTCGCAACACGTTTGGCGCAAGCGGCAAATGTCCAGTGTGAAGCCGACCCGACTCTCGAAGCGCTGCCAATTGTTTGCGAGCGGCACACGGACGCGTCGTCGTCGTCGTCGTGCGTGTGCCCGCCTGGCTTCTCGTGAACGCGCGCAAATGTCCGGAAGGGACCTTTTTGTTATTCATATTTTTTTGTACGCTGCGGTGTTTGTTGTTTTGCTTCTCTACCCCCCCCGCCCGCCGCCGCCCGGCCCCCGCCGCTCCTCTTCTTCCCGAGACACCGTCGCACAGAGCGAGCGGGGCCGTTTTCGAGATGTCAAAATGTATGCACCGCTGCGAACCCCCCCCCCCCCCCCGTGAAGTCGTACAATGTTCATTTCAGGGCAGGGACCGTGCCCCCCCCCCCCCACCGAAACGTCGTCATAACCACAAGTCCGCACAAGAAAAAAAAGTTTACTCCCCCAAGGCCTGCTTATGGTGGGGTGCAGGCCCCACTCACCATTTGATTAGATGCCCGTTTGTCTCGGTAGAGTGCCCACTTAGTATTTATACGTAATAAGGAATGCTAATTAGAATTGTACACCTACGTACACCATTTATGCAACGTTTTGAATATACTTGGTGGCCGTATGTCCACCACGAAGCTTGTACGCATTTGTATCGCAGCCATCCGGCGTTGGCTCGACAACGACCCAATGCTCGTTATTTTTTAATAAGCAAAATAAAAATGTAAACACCCTTTCTAGATAAAAACGTCATGACGTTGCTCGGTAAAATTCAGGTCACTAACGGCAGTAATTCACTCTGCTGCAGTCATTTTTGAGAGAGAAACTCAAAATATGTAAAGGTTACGGATTTCCCCCGGACACCCGTTTTGAATGCAATGTTTTCATACGTCGTTCACGACTCGGACACAATACCGAGTTACTCGGGCCGGCTTTTCACTCGACAAATGGCATATTATTTTGATGGTCTTTTCTTTTCTTCAACAAAGATGCTACCAAGTCCTCTATTTTCCTCTCGTAATTAAGCAATGTAATAGTAGCTTGGTAAGTCGACATTTATTACTGGGGAGAATTTCAAACACTTTGTTGTTACCGTTGTCGGTTTGTGTCTGCAAGCAAACCCGTAAACAGACAAGGCAGCAGGTCTGTTGTTAGAATGATGGCATCTTCAAACGTTGTTCTCGGAGTGAAAATGGCCTCGTGTTTTGATTTTGCCTTACGGCAGATGAACTCGTTTTGTTGAGCGGGCAAGCTAAGATGGCATTGCAGCGACGGTCATTTAAAATGTAGATGGTTGTGGACTGCCATGAAGATACGTTCACCGCGTATCAGATTAAGTCTTGAAGCATTTTCACGGTGGTATTTGTTTTCAGTTTCTGCGATTGGATTAACCAGTATAAATGCACATTTTTGGGCAAAATCTACATGGCAGGCTGGGGCATTAACTCGTCAGTAACCAGACCTCTGACCTTTAGAGTAACATTGTGATACTTCGTCTGAAGGGAAAGCCCACAGACAGGCGTGGTTTAGTATGGTAAAATACAAATTTACGAAACCATTGCGTGGGGAGGGTCCTCTACCATCCAGCAGTGGATTGCCAGAGGGGCTGTTCCATGTACACACAAAGATTACCAGTGCGCCCTCTGCCTGAAAATGTAGAACACCTGGCCAGGTGTTGTTGGTAGGAGTATGCAAGAAATTGGTGATGCTCCATCCCATCTGTTCAGGTCGAAGGAGGAATGTTTTCAACCAATTCTTTGTTGAGCATCCTGTAACCCTTTACCTCAACCTACTTTTGGGTCAACCTCTTGGGCTGGGGTCAAGGGTTACAGGATGCTAAGAGGTATAGGTGGGATTTTTTATTTTTTACAAAAATGGTGGGAAAAATTGATACAATTAAGCATTGATTTCAGTAGGGCTTCATGAATTACAAAATTATGGGACGTGTGGCCAATGGCAGCCAAACCGAGTCTTGATGTGAGTCACGGCCAGTGGTGAATGTTGAACTGTACGATTTCCCAACCATCAATGTCTCCCTCCTTGTCGACGTGCGACCACATGATTGTGCACGCCCCAAACCCAGCAAGGCACCACCCCGAGCGCCAGTGTTGACGGGGTCTCCCGATCAGTGTGAGGCACGCTACGGAAATCACAACCGGATGAAATTGCGCATTTATGGTGCTCCGTTCCAAGAAGAGAATTCGATTTTTATTATTATTATAATGGCTTCGAAACAGTTGAAGATGCATCGTGATAATTTTTTTTATTTCACCGGTGTTTATTATTTTTAAGGCTTGGCAAACTTAAGCGAGAGGGCGATGCCACCAGACTGTACGGAATTGCAAACAAAAAATTGGCCAACTTTAGACAAACACATGTTCACGATTGTGTTGATATTCTTGGTTCTTTCGGTAAAGTCACGTATAAGGGAAACAATAAAATAAAAATATAAAACAAAATTATCACGACGTTTCGACTGCAACACAAGCAATCATCATTAGGTGTGAAAACCACAGCAAGAAAATTTGAAAAAAGTGGCGTTTTTTTAACGTTAGCACCACTACGTGGTGCACCAGCGTTAGCACGACGTAGTGGTGCTAACGCTGGTGCACTTTTTTCAAATTTTAATGCTGTTTTATTCACACCTGATGATGATTGCTTGTGTTGCAGTCGAAACGTCGTGAGAATTTTATTTTTTATATTTTTATTATTTTATTGTTTCCTTTCTTCATGACTTTACCGAAAAAAACAATAATATGAATCCCTGCAGTCACGAAAGCTTTAAATCAAGATTGTGTTGATATTTCGTGCTGTAATTAAATGTCCCCCCCCCCTCATTGCATGTTTACTCAAAACACAATGGTATTTTTTTCGTAAGTTGGCGACGGCCTCTTATTTAATTTTTTTAATCGCAAAAAGGCATATCGGTTGCTTTTTATTACTAAGAAAAAAGTCTTGAACAGTTTTTTTAATTGTCAATTTTTACCATAAAATAAATCCACGTTGTAACATTCAATTTAGAGCTCCTGATTTAAAAAAGCGGTGTTTTTTTGTCCTTAGTTTTTTTTTAACGAGAGAAGTTGCTGTTTTACTGTACAGTTTAAGTGCAATAGCAGAACGTCCGAGGAACAAGGGAACAGCCATCCGCAGGCGATTTTATGCAATCGCTCACCAACTAAAAAAAATAGTTTTGTTGATTAACTTTGATAAATTTGTCAACTACAGTTTCACTGCAAAGGGGAGAAAGGCAGTGGGGTGGGGGGGTCTGTTCAGTTTTTGAAAATAAAGACAATTCCATAATGTTTTGTATGTTGCGTTTGTGTGTTGCTTTTCTTGTGTTCTTATCGTGAACCAGTTTGTTTTTTGACACTTCCGGTTAAATTTCACCACCCCTCTCCCCCGCCCGCAACCGAATAAGCGATTGTGTCAGATGCATGCAATGGTTTTTGGACCACCGATTCAAACGTGCGGGAATGGGTGTATCGTCCAACAATCTACAATGGAGCAGATGTACGGTTCGTGTCACCTTGTGACAAGAATTGGCCAAGTTGGCGCACACAGCACCACGTCATCGCCCCCAGGACACTTTATAATTCGGTGCGGTATTAGTTCAGTCGTCCAATTATGTCTCGCAAGTCTCGCCAAGCACCAACCTGAAATTACCCATTCGCCCACCAGTCGGGGTATACTTGCCGTCATCCCCCCCCCCCCCCCCAAAACCAAGTTATTTGAGTAATACGAGCAGTACTCACCTTACGAACCAGCTTGCATGAAGTATACACGAAAAAATAACTAAACAAACTCCCATTTACAAATTGAACAGCGGACCTTTTCTTCAGAAGCGTGATCTTCCGCGAGGTGTAGCGAGTCGGCCTCGCGCTGGGAGTGAGTGTTTGCGCGTGGTGTGTGAAAGTGTGAGTGTGGCGGTGACGTGCGGCGAGGTCAATGGCTGGGGAGGCACTGGCTAGTGTCAGAGCCAGATTCACACTGAGGGGGGCGTGTCCTCACTGAGGGGGCGTGTCTTCACTGAGGGGGGCGTGTTAGACATCCCCGTCGGTGAGGCAGATGTGATAGCTGCCTCCCCTGGTGCTTTTCCATTGCAATTTCATGTCGAGACCAGCGAGCCTAAAGATCTTTATACACATACGTGAAATAAGTTACCTGGAGTATGGAAGGCGAGGACATGAAATGAAGGGGTCTACAAACATTACATTGGTGACATACTGAGATAGTGACAGGCACATGCTCATTGCCCGCGCTCCATCCAGTTACTGAGGGGTTGCGCAATCAGAGGGGAGGCTGAGCTCGTCGCTGCCTCACCTGTCGTCTCTTCCTGTATTTGCAGCGAAGCTCCACGAATTTTGCGATTTTGACTGAAAATGATTGGAATCGTACAGAAATGACATTTATAACACAGATCAGTGGAAAATTCTAATATTGATTTGATTTTTTTTTTACTTTTTGTAACAGCTATTTTCATTGGAGTATGACATGTGAGGCTCTGCCTCCCCTGAACCGCACGTCCCTGGAGTGTAGCAAGTCCAAATACAAAACCAGACACGAAGCGGCCACTCAATCCCATACCTGTCAACCCAGACGGTTTACCCCAAATCCATGTACATGAAAAATTAGTTCAGGGCCATATGGCAGACAGCAGTTTCAATACGGTACAAAAAAAATCATTCGGTCTATTTGTTCGTGTTTCTCCCTTGTGATGGGACTTTGTAGAATGAACGTTGAGATTTATAAGGGGTACGGGGTGACCAATAAGGTCTGAATTGGTCTGTAATAAGGTAGGGCACTGATAAGGGGTTGACAGTTATGGGGGAGCGGTAGTGAAGCAGTTCACGCACTGCGCTAAAGAACTTGGCAACCCGAGTTAAGATTCCTGTTCACTGCCAACAGTGTGACGATTATCGGAACCGGTCCTGGGCCTCCCCCCTAGGTCGACTCCGCCTCAAACGAGTACCTGGTGCAGTGCGTGGTATTCATCGCCACTGGGGAGACAAAGGCAGCCAGGCGTGTCGCTGGCCACTCGCCCTCTCGTGTGCCGTTGAGGCCACAAGGGGGATCTGGGTCTTTGTCTTTGTGTGCGCCTCGTGTGTGTCTGTGCAATTGTGGTGACTCATTGCGGCCTCCCCCCCTTCCAACTACAAGCTGCCATCAGGACTCCGGGTAAATTAAAATAGAGGTTTTTTTTTCTATTTGTGACTTTATTTACTATAGTATTAGCTTCCACCAGTGGTTCTTAACCTGGGTGCACGCACCCCCTGGTGGTGCGAGATGCCCTGAGAACCAAAACGGGTGCATGCTGTAGCACAAGGTTTATGACCCACTGTTCTACACCGTTACATGGAAATATGCAATATTTATTCTTAATTAGGTGTTAAACCATTTTATTGTAACGTATCACATTTCATAATACAGACCGAAAGGGGCATTTAAATGCAGCGCATTAACCGTCTCCGACTCTCGAACCGATCGATTTACAAACAAGGTCTCTGGAAAGAATTCGGTTCGTAACCAGAGGACTGCCCGTAGTTGTTAATTTACCAAATTTGGGCCACTGCAGTGCGTGTTGCATGCAGCGTGCAATCGAGCGCAGTGCATGGGGGAGTCGCCAAGTTGGGCCACGTACCCAGTCACACGGAGTGTTTATTTTTTAACATTTTAACAAAGAAACGCTGGAATCTTTTATTTTTTTTTGGGGGGGGGGGGGGGGAGTTGTGCGAGCGAACGCACTGCTACACCGATGCAAAACGTTAAAACACCACGTGCTTTTAAAAATACGTACACAAAATACACGGACAGAGAAAAATTCTACACAAACGTTAATTTTACTGAGGAAAATGTTCATTAACATTCAGGAAATCACACCGTCTATTTTAAAATGGAAGTTTTCCCGCACAATTAATCAATAGCGAATACATTCTTGTGGTTATATATGGTGTCACTTTTAAGCTAATGTCAAGGAAAACTGCAAGAGCGACATTAATTATGGTTGATGTGAACTTATTCTGCCGATGGACACACAGCCCTGCCCTCGGTCACATCAAGTTTTAAGGCATACAAATTGGAACACTGAACCACAAATAAAACTTTGTTTAAAAAAACGCAAGTGGGGGAAGGGGGGGGTGTTAAAGATACACTAATTCATCTATTAGCTGGGCCACAAGCCCACGCAGGAGGGAGTCGGTAGCCAGGGGGTTCGTCGTGCACAGACAACGCATCGTTTTTCGATTTTACTCCCCTCCCCCCACCAAATGACGAGTGGCCACCGAGAGGATGCAAGGTCCACGTAGTATCTGGCCAGTTGGGGGTGTGCTGTCCGTAGCACGTTTAAGTAAAGCGTTACCGCGTGCCTGGGGCACTCCATCACCACCACCTTGGTCGCTCGACTTTATCACGAACTTATGCACAAAGATATCCACCCCCCCAACTACGTCCCACTCTTGACAAACCTACTTAAGCAGCAACCACAAATTACACATCGTTTTTTTTTTTGGTTAAAATACAAGTCGTTTCACAACGCTAAAAACCACGCATTTACAAAGGACGCGAAACTCAGACATTTCTGGGCTCTGCCACCAACACAGAACACCGCAAGACGTTTATCAACGCACGCGTGCGTGCGAAGGAAGTTAAACAACATCGCACGCCTCAAATCAAAAGCACGATACGAGGACAAATGGAAACAATTACAATATTTTTTTTTGTGCAAAGTCATGTCTCCGTACATCTCGGTAGTAAACAAATCGACTATTGTCGTCAGTGGGTACCGCGCAGAAACCATTCACAAGATAACGTTGCAAAATTAACCTCCGTCAAATCGTTGCACGCGCGCCAACGAGAATACCGTGTCCACGTCCGTCTCCTTCGCCCCCCGGCCCCCCGGCGCCTTGAGACGCTTGCACGGACCCGAGAGCTGCCCTCGTCATTCGTCGTCCACGTCATTACCGTTCGTGCAGGCCGCATCCTGCACAGCGACGGAGACAAGCGTGAGCGACAGGGGGCCCCGCGGCCACCCCCGGTTAATAGCGCGGTGTGTACGGTCCATAACACTACTACTGCGACTCTACGCGCCACCTGCTGCTTCACGGTTTGAGGAGAGTAGATGCCACGTTATTCACATGCCACGCGTGACGGCGTCACGATCACCAAGAAGAAGAATATTTTACCAAATGAAAAGTAAATTAAATCACGACGTTTCGGGCGCAACACAAGTGTCCGTCATCAGGTGTGTTCGTCCCCATCCTGCGCCAGAAACGTCGTGATTTAATTTAGTTGTTTTCATTTATTTTATTGATTTTTTTTTTTACACCTACGGGACTTCACCGAGAAAAAATAAAACAAAGAGTACGAATCCTTGCAGTCACGAAAGCTTCAAATCTAGAAATATTTTACCTGTCAATTACTCAAATTGGAGAACAGCACAGCAACATCGCGCGCCCTACTGCGATACTACTGCAGGCCGGCCTGAAACACAGCTGCACCTCTTCCTAAGTTGTGGCGATGCAGTTTCGCGCGCTATAAGAAATGGCGTGAATACCAAAATGTATTGCACATTTGATTTGAATAGAGAATGTAGTACATGTTGTGCAGTGTGTAACTTCAGATGTGAAACAGCGCTACGGATAGAGCGACGCCCACAAATGCCATCGCATCACCATCAAATAATTACATATGCCATGCCACACATTTAATGGATTTAAGCATATAGACACACAATGGGACAGTTTCACACGTAGGCTTTCGAGATCAATATTAGTCAAAGGTTTTTGGGTTTGATCGCATAACTATAAATATGTCATATTCTTGGTTCTTTCGGTAAAGTCACGTTATTTTATTATTTTATTGTTTTCCCTTCAACGTGACTTTACCGAAAGAACCAAGAATATGAATCACTGCAGTCACGAAAGCTTTAAATCAAAATATAAATGTGTCGTTAATGCATTTGTATCAATTATGAAAGATGACATACGTTTACATAAGAGTTGCACTTCTCAAACTGAAACTTTTTATTGAAAAAGGCACCTTTCTTAAACCCATGGCCCCTGTACATGAATTATCCCCCATTATAACTAAAACCATTAAAAAAAAGTAGGCCAACTGCAACTGTACATTTTATAACGTATATGTATTATTTCTGAAATTGGCACATTTTAAGTTCTATTTTCCCAAACTTTGGGACAGTCAGGCTGATAATATAATTATTTTATTTTAGCTGTTTTACCGCAACTGGTGTAAAGGCAAGTCTTTGAAATATTAAAATGTTTTATCTTTTAAGTTACATTCATTGGGTAAAGTTCACCTCTGCTGCAAGGAACACAAACCATAAAATCCCAACGGTGGTATCCATGTCATTGTCGGGTGTCGGGGTTATTACGTCCCAGTTTGTTTTCAGAAAGGCAGCAAATGTCGAGGCGCTTCAACGTGAACAAACACATTTTAACTTTGGAATATTGATGGGGAAACCCCACCAACCCCCCCCCCCCTCCCCATGTGAAAACTACGACGGGTTTCCATGTTTGTCACGTTTTGAATTCAAGTGGAAATTGTTAACTCTACCAGAGAGAGAGCTTCCACACGAGGCAGATCTTTCACTTGGCCAGTCTCCAAGTTCTGGGGGCAAGAGAGAACGGGACCGTGAGCAGATCTGCACAAGTCTGAAAAAAATATACATCAACGCTCAAGTCACGTCAAGTTGCAGGACGGCTAAACATGCATTCGCATTCACCTCCTCGATAAAGGCTGAAGAGGCGCAGTGGCACATCGCGACTTAAAAAGGGGAGATGCCACCGGTCGGAGGTGCGAGTAAGAACCACAGACGCGATGAGCATGCACCAACTGCCCACGCTCTGGGGTCCTCCATACATTAAAAAGGTGTCATTAGCCAATTAAAACCCTTCACCGTCCCGATGACGTGCGTGTGTATGTCGTCAGTTTCTATTCCGATTCCGTTCCAATGACGTACACGAACCGGAAGGAAAAATTAAAATAAAATACCTTTAGCGGTACCGAGGCTCCCACAAGGCCATGCGGGAGGGCGTGTGGCACCGTTTGACGCCGGCTCTCGTAGCGCGCGGCGGTCGTGTAGCTACGGTTCTCTCATTTTAAAGACATTGGACTGACTGCAAACGGTGCTACTATGCCTCTCCAAATAAAATTAACGCCGAAACGCTTGCGCGTTCAGAGATTTAGCGGTGAACGAGACGAACATCCTGCAACTTGCAGTCGTCTCAAAGGTTCAGAGCGTTTATTACACGTGGAAGGAATCTGGGGCAATTGGAGAAAACTCACGGCGTGCGAGCGAGGAAACTCTTAGTGTACAACACAGACAGCAGCGGTGGTGTCCACATGTTTCTGCCTTCTCCTGGTGAGCCAGAGTACTGGCACCGCAGTGCCCATGCGGTTGACCACACACACTGGGGTCGGCGCGAGTTGGTGACGACGTGGACAACAACGCACCGGGGCTCCGGACCCACCCTTGTGACCGCGCGGTTCGAGCCCTGGCGGTGGCTCGTGTGAGCGGCGAGGAGAACCAGCGCCGAGTTGGCCACTCTTCCTCGCCAGCCCACAAGGACCAGGTATGGTCTCAAAAAGAAAACGCCATATGACCAATGTGGAAGCGAGGATCCAATGAATATGGAAAGTGGAGTCAAGGTTGGCCCAATCGCATGAAAACGTTTACTGGGGAGGCCTTCATCCAATGGTGGCTTTACAAAAAATTGTAAGTAAAACGACACTATTTTTTTACTAAACTATTTTTTTTTATTTTACCAGGTAAGGCTCGTCGAGCTATACAGCCCTTTTTCAGAAGTGGCCTGGCCATAAATGATAGCTCCATAAAGAAGTGGCCTATCACGTGGAAATGTAGCAGCCTATTAATTTATAAAAGGAAGTTTCTAAAAAGGTGGAGGGAAAACCAGAGGATCCGGCGACAAATCCACGCAACCACGGGGAGAACACGCAAACTCCAAATACAGGCATCAGGGTCGCGATTGAACCCACGACCCCCTGCATACCAGGCGACAGCGTTTTCATCGTACCCAAATCGATATATCTATCATTAACAACCGTACATCTTTAACTATGTAAAAATATATACAAAAACTAGACACCTTTATGCTTTCAGAGGAGGCTGGTGTGACTTGACCGTAAAACTAGTAATCTTAGGACAATAACCGTAGATGGATTAAAGCCAAACAGGGGCAAACATATGTCACTTTCGCCACAACACAGCCAACGACCCCACGCACAGTATTACCGTAACTGAAAGGGCGATCAAAATGTGCGTTGCAATGCATGACGCCGCTTTGGACAAATGGATTACACCGTCCGACAACCGAGGTGGCATAGCGAGGAATGTACCAACGCCGATTTAAAAATAATACCAACTGTCGTCAGCCTTAACGGTTATTATTGTTTTCCCGATCGACCATACACAGCGCGTCCGCAAGAGGAACAAGAATGGCATTAACTGGCAAAGTCGTTCTTGGCGATGGCAGCTGGCCGTCTCAAGTCTGTGCCGGTGACCTGGCAATGTCACGCAATGTCACACGGCACTTCTTCCCTCGGTCAGAGTTCGAATTCACTCCATCGTCGTTATCAATGTGGCGGCCGTGTTTAAAGATCAGTCTCCTTTGTTGCTCTCACTCACCTGTTCCTTCATTTGAGAGGCACCCTCCAAGAAATGTACAACTTCTTTTTGATTGGCTTCCTTCGCCTGCAAGCACAAGGTATGGTTTCTCGTTACAAGTGCAAACACATTGAACGTTTCCACAGAATGCACAGCGTACCAGTTGCGGAACAGAGGGTGTTTTAAATTTCAGTTCATCGTCCTGCAATGACAAGTGTGAATGGTCTCTATTCTCAATGTCAAGGAACGGAACGAATGACATCGTGATTCATTTAGGCTGCACCGATGAACACCACCACCACAAGCCCGCAGAGTAAGAATAATCGGGAATAAATGAAAAACCAAACGCAATGATGGGGGGGGGGGAGCGTGCAGTTAGTGACCAAATTGAAAATTGTCAAATTAATCAAACGAACAACTTCATGATGCCACTGCTATTCATTGGCCTAAAATCAAATAAAATGTTTCGCTCCGGATGACCGCTACAAAGTATTATCTGTATTTTGATTTAGTGTGTTGATCTTAAGGTGCATTGGAAAATTTGATACTCCGACTGACGCTCCTGTTGTTGTGGAGTGACTCATGCAGCCAGCTATGGCTGCAGGGTTTGGTGTTACATGTTGTTTATGTAGTTTGTTGTGAAAATTCGGTCACTGTTACATTGCTTTTATGGCTTTATTTTGGTGATTTCGAAAACGTTTTTTGGTTTGGCCATGTTTGTTTGTTGTAGTATGGAGTTAGACTGATGGCCTAAATAAAAGTTGTCTTGTGGTTGTTGTTGTTATTGTTTGACTTGCATCCTACTGGGATTTTTGCACACAGAATTGGTGTACAGTGCTTTTTCTGGAATATTTTGCCGTTTTTTCCTGGATTTTCTGTTTGCACAGTCACACATAGTCACTTTAAGATGTTTTCTTGTTCATGCTTTTGTTTTTTGTTTGTTGCACCCGATTCAAGAGCCGAATGGCTCACAGGGCTACACCAAATAAATGAAACTGAAAACTGAAACCAGTTGAAGCTTGAACTTGTGCAGCAAGTTAATGGCATCAACCAATCACTCCTTAAACAGATTTCAGGACAGATTTACACCGATTAAAATGGCCATAAATGCATGAACCTGGCTGGTGGTTGGACGGTTGGGAGACATCAATGCATCTTCAACAAGATCTACGGACGATGTGCACCACGCGTCCCAGCGTGCGAGGCGAGTAATCGTCTCTGGTCACTTGGGCGAAGGGGCATCACTCTTAACGGTCGTACGCCAAAGCTCAGAAATGAATTTCCTCGATCTTTTGGAGATAAAAACAATTTACGGAGGTGCTACTGACAAGCAGCCTCAATGCACGTGCTCCCCAACCCTCGTGATGTGGCGCTTACCCAAACAACCAAGACCACTTTGTATCTACCTCCATTGGTAAAGACCGACACGGCAGTTCGTCTGTGGCCACGCAACCCAAACTATAGACTACAGAGATAACCCACTTGCGATCTGCACTCCTTCAAATGGATGAGGAATGGCAAAACTATCCAAACGCTCTCCTAAAAAGCACTTGTGGCTGGCAGGCCTAAACCATCTGCGCTAATCCGCACCTCCGATTAGCACGGTTGGCTACGTACGGTGCAAACGAAGTTCGTCATACATATATACAGACCTCAACATTGGCATTGAGCTCCTGAACATATTGCCGTACGCACAAATAGACCTCGCACAACGTGGACAGAAGGAAGAGCTGGGGGGGGATCCTAGCGTACGCACCACTTGCAGCGGCGTGCGCTGGTCGTAGCCCAGCTGCGTGGCCAGGTTCAGCCCGGCCAAATTCCACGCCATCAAGCCCTGCACGTCCCCATTTACTGCCATTCTAGGAGACACACGCACGCACAATAATTTAGGTAAAACAGCGCCATCCACAACCTCGCCAAATACTATTATTATTTCATAATGGCCCGATCCACAAATATGAAGGAGACATCACAACGATGATACACCCTGCTGCTGTGGTTGTTATCTGACTTGACTTCCTGAATGTGAAATCGTAGTTGTTGCTCTGCATTTAGATCAGCCGTACGAAAGAAGACTACGCCCACTTAGGAAAACCTCAGAGTCTCAAGACTCTCCTTCAGGAGGGGGCCTGCAAAGTTATCGCAGTAGGGAAGCGATGTTACTACTACGTGCAATCCCAATGGGGTATTGAGATGTTGAATTTCATTTTAGGATTGGGATTTATTTTTTTGGGCCGATACTGGCTGTGTGGTTTTTTTTAGGTATGGGACCAAAGAACACAGGAGGGTCACAGTAGGTAAAGCTGTGCAGAACAGGAGAACATACACACTCCACGGGAAGAACATACAAATGCCACTCACTCTCTATGGAACCGATGAAGAACAACCTGCACACAGAAAGGGCGATCAAGTCGGGAGTCGAACCTCGGGGGTGGTTGTGCGACACAAGTGTTGCCACTGCGCCACCCTGCTACACAGAAGTCTACATCGACAAGAGCTGCACACGTGTGAGGATGCCTTACTTCTCCTGCACGTAAACACGAGGTGACACTACAGCGTGGTGTGCACACACGTGCTGTGTAGTGACCGTTCTGCAGCTTGCTTGCGGTCAGAATGAGGCAACAACATGCCCAAGACCTCAAAACTTTAACCCATAGAGGTTTTGATTTAAAGCTTTCGTGACTGCAGGGATTCATATTCTTGGTTCTTTCGGTAAAGTCACGTAGAAGGGAAACAATAAAACATTGTTTTATATTTTTATTATTTTATTGTTTGCCTTCTACGTGACTTTACCGAAAGAACCGAGAATACAGAGTTTTTTTTTTTAGGTTAGATCACGTAAGTATAAGTGTTGTTAAACCCACCACCACCACCACCCGACACCCAGTTAGTAAGGTGTGTCATGTAAACAAAACATCCCAATTCGTTACTAGTAAATGTTGTGGGTTTACTCTCCAACAAACCGATGTGCTGTACGAGTAACGAATTGGCACGTTTTGTTTACGTTACAAACCCTTTCTAATTGGCTGTGGCGGGTTTAACGGCATTTTTATTTACGCGATCCAACCCCAAAAAACCTCAATTTTGGATAATATTGATCGCGGAAGCCTTACTACGACGTGTTAAACCTCAAGTCTTGCAACTGGACTACAGTCAAACTTTACAGGCTACAAATGCAGATGCATTCCGATACACACATGCAACTCACACCACGGACCAGAAAGTAAACCAGCGTAGTCGGCACCCCTTCAACGGAAAAGGAATGGCATGAGTACACAAACTCTTCTCCCGAAGACCTCTCGTCATGGCTAGCAGACCGACATTTGGCATTTAGCTCCTGAACATCACTGCCATGGCAGAGGGAGCGTGCCCGCTCACTACACGTGGTACCGTTCATAAGTTGGGGGCGGCAGGCTTCGTGCATGCGTCACACACATTGGTTGTCACGTGTTGTGTGCGTCAAGTTAGGCGACAACATGTCTTGCACGCAGTCTACGCGTTACATTTTGACTTAAAACTTTCGTGACTGCAGGAAATCATATTCTTTGGTTCTTTCGGTAAAGCCACAAATAGAAAAAAAAAACTTTTACTTTTTTATATAAAAAAACCAAAAAGCCACGAGGTTTCGATCGCAACACAAGCGGTGATGACGACCCCGCTTGTGATCACAACACAAGCGGTGATGACGACCACGCTTGTGATCACAACACAAGCGGTGATGACGACCACGCTTGTGATCACAACACAAGCGGTGATGACGACCACGCTTGTGATCGCAACACAAGCGGTGATGACGACCACGCTTGTGATCACAACACAAGCGGTGATGACGACCACGCTTGTGATCGCAACACAAGCGGTGATGACGACCACGCTTGTGATCACAACACAAGCAGTGATGATGACCACACTTGTGATCACAACACAAGCGGTGATGATGACCACGCTTGTGATCACAACACAAGCGGTGATGACGACCCCGCTTGTGATCGCAACACAAGCGGTGATGATGACACCGCTTGCGTTGCGATCGAAACGTCACGAGTTTTCGGTTTATTTATTATTTTATTTTATTATTTTCTATCTACGTGACTTTACCGAAAGAAGCAAAGAATTCGTCTACGCATTATTTGTTACAATAAAGACAAAGAGAGATCCCCCGTACAGCTTTCACAGGGCTCCTGGGGCAAGTGCTGTTAACGAGCGCCTGTGAAAGGCCAGCACTGCACACTAGGGGGTGGGTGGCCAGCACCACGCCCGACCGCCTTTGTCTCCCCAGTGGCAACGGTTACATAGCACTAGGTACTCATTTGAGGCCGAGTCGACCTAGGGTAGGCCCAGGACCAGTTGTCCATGAGCAGGAATTGAACTCGGATCACCAGGTTCGTAGTGTGTGACCACACATGCAGTATGTGTGGTCACACAAAGGTAAAGGTGCAGGTCTGCAATTTTTTTTTTTTTTTGCTAACAAAAGGAAGCAGCTCTGAAACCAAACCAGAGGTGTGGGGGGGGGGAGGGGGGGGGTCCACGTTGGCCAGACACCTAGGAGAGCGGTCGGGGTACCCACACTTTACCCTACCACGTGCGACCTGCCAATAAGAATGTGCGTGGGACAGAGGTAGCACGGGGGGAGGGGGGTGGGGGAATCGAACCGGTGACCTACGGATCGCAAGTCCAGCATGCCGACCCATTACAGCACGGTTGGCGTGCCTCATGCCGTGCGTGTCGTGTCGTGTCGCGACGCCGTGCACTCACGTGCAGAGCTCTGGGCCCAGACCCTCGTACTCATCCTGGGAGAGGTGAGCCCCTGTCTGACGCAGGAGCTTGATCACGTCCAGGTGCCTGTGGGGGAGCGCATGCACGGCACAGTAGAAATAATGCTGATTGTGGTGGCAGTGTTCGCTCACTTTCGAACAGAGAGATAAAGGAGGAACCGCGGACAAGCGGGCAAGGCAGCCACACGATGAGCCGGTGCCAATTGCCCAAGCTCTGAGGTCCTCTATATATGAACCCTTTCCCATTCCGAGACATCTGGAAGTCACAGGGTGGGTTGTCCCCGTTCATCGCCGAATCTCAGAACGTGCAAGCGGCTCAGCGTTACTTTTATTTAGGCGTAGCGCCATTGCGTTTCAAAAAGACATTGTACTCGCCACAGAGAGCTATAACGACACGACCACACTCTATGATAACTGGCAGAAAATTTTGCCACATGCCCTACCCGCGTGGGCTTTAAACTTCCGATTCCGGTGAAGGGTTAAGCTGTGATCAGCCAATTAACGAATGTTTAACACGTGCGAGGAAACCGGAGCACCTGGAGACGCAAAAGGTGGAGCCCACATTTTTGCTGTACCGCATTCTCCTGGTTGAGCCAGGGTAACCACGTGTGTGCGGCAATTCACCACAACCCCCGCTGCAGCCTCCAAAGGGCCGAACTACAGGCCATCGCCGCCGCCCGGCGCACAGGAGGAGGGGTGGGGGGGGAGGCTTTCAGTTCCAAGATGGACAATCCTTTCAAGCAAGAGCGGCATCCACGCGATTGGGGCCCCCAAGTTGCATTGACATTTTTAACGGAAAATTTGAGCCATGATGACATCTTTAGCCGTGAACACGACGGCTGCACTCCACGCCCCATCCGGCAGTATTGTTATTGGGAAATAAGTTACCCATCAAGCCTTTGATACCTGTATTGTTGCTAACCTGCCAGGGACGGCCGTGTTTACCGACAGATTCCAAAGCAGATATTGCGTTTAGTCAATATGCAGTAGGTATTGGTTTTTCGCAATCAATGACTCGATTTTAATTCTGGATGAGGCCACTATTTAATGGGTCTGGCAAAATAGTTTGTTGCGAAACCCTCCACCACCCGACATAAGCAAACAAATAAAAATGAGCGCGTAGCGCACAAACGCTTAACACGACAATTATTATTACAATCGCTTCAGTCTCACCCCGCCGACAGAGTTGACGAACAATTGTCATGGCCAATCTGAGCAGCGACGAGACGCGCAATACCGTGACATTTCACTTGTAAAACCACCTAGAGCATCGTTCGGCTAAAAAAAACACAAAATCCAGCAGGGGTCGGCAGAACAGCGGCATAGAGTACGCAAGCACGTAGAGAGATTGTACCACTAGAGACGATACTCGCCGGTAGGCAAGCACGTGGAGAGATTGTATCGCTAGAGACGATACTCGCCAGTACACAAGCACGTGGAGAGATTGTATCGCTAGAGACGATACTCGCCGGTAGGCAAGCACGTGGAGAGATAGTATCACTAGAGACGATACTCGCCGGTAGGCAATAACGTGGAGAGATTGTATCACTAGAGACGATACTCGCCGGTAGGCAAGCACGTGGAGAGATTGTATCGCTAGAGACGATACTCGCCGGTAGGCAAGCACGTGGAGAGATTGTATCACTAGAGACGATACTCGCCGGTAGGCAAGCACGTGGAGAGATTGTATCACTAGAGACGATACTTGCCGGTACACAAGCACGTGGAGAGATTGTATCACTAATGATGATACTTGCCGGTAGGCAAGCACGTGGAGAGATTGTATCGCTAGAGACGATACTCGCCGGTAGGCAAGCACGTGGAGAGATTGTATCGCTAGAGACGATACTCGCCGGTAGGCAAGCACGTGGAGAGATTCTATCACTAGAGACGATACTCGCCGGTAGGCAAGCACGTGGAGAGATTGTATCACTAGAGACGATACTTGCCGGTACACAAGCACGTGGAGAGATTGTATCACTAGTGATGATACTTGCCGGTAGGCAAGCACGTGGAGAGATTGTATCGCTAGAGACGATACTCGCTGGTACACAAGCACGTGGAGAGATTGTATCACTAGAGACGATACTCACCGGTACACAAGCACGTGGAGAGATTGTATCACTAGAGACGATACTCGCCGGTAGGCAAGCACGTGGAGAGATTGTATCGCTAGAGACGATACTCGCCGGTACACAAGCACGTGGAGAGATTGTATCGCTAGAGACGATACTTGCCGGTACACAAGCACGTGGAGAGATTGTATCGCTAGAGACGATACTCGCCGGTAGGCAAGCACGTGGAGAGATTGTATCGCTAGAGACGATACTCGCCGGTACACAAGCACGTGGAGAGATTGTATCACTAATGATGATACTTGCCGGTAGGCAAGCACGTGGAGAGATTGTATCGCTAGAGACGATACTCGCCGGTAGGCAAGCACGTGGAGAGATTGTATCGCTAGAGACGATACTCGCCGGTACACAAGCACGTGGAGAGATTGTATCGCTAGAGACGATACTCGCCGGTACACAAGCACGTGGAGAGATTGTATCACTAGAGACGATACTCGCCGGTACACAAGCACGTGGAGAGATTGTATCGCTAGAGACGATACTCGCCGGTACACAAGCACGTGGAGAGATTGTATCGCTAGAGACGATACTCGCCGGTACACAAGCACGTGGAGAGATTGTATCACTAGTGATGATACTCGCCGGTACACAAGCACGTGGAGAGATTGTATCGCTAGAGACGATACTTGCCGGTACACAAGCACGTGGAGAGATTGTATCGCTAGAGACGATACTCGCCGGTAGGCAAGCACGTGGAGAGATTGTATCGCTAGAGACGATACTCGCCGGTACACAAGCACGTGGAGAGATTGTATCACTAGTGATGATACTCGCCGGTAGGAAAGCACGTGGAGAGATTGTATCACTAGTGATGATACTCGCCGGTAGGCAAGCACGTGGAGAGATTGTATCACTAGTGATGATACTCGCCGGTAGGCAAGCACGTGGAGAGATTGTATCGCTAGAGACGATACTCGCCGGTACACAAGCACGTGGAGAGATTGTATCACTAGTGATGATACTCGCCGGTACACAAGCACGTGGAGAGATTGTATCGCTAGAGACGATACTTGCCGGTACACAAGCACGTGGAGAGATTGTATCGCTAGAGACGATACTCGCCGGTAGGCAAGCACGTGGAGAGATTGTATCGCTAGAGACGATACTCGCCGGTACACAAGCACGTGGAGAGATTGTATCACTAGTGATGATACTCGCCGGTAGGAAAGCACGTGGAGAGATTGTATCACTAGAGACGATACTCGCCGGTAGGCAAGCACGTGGAGAGATTGTATCACTAGTGATGATACTCGCCGGTAGGCAAGCACGTGGAGAGATTGTATCGCTAGAGACGATACTCGCCGGTACACAAGCACGTGGAGAGATTGTATCACTAGTGATGATACTCGCCGGTACACAAGCACGTGGAGAGATTGTATCGCTAGAGACGATACTTGCCGGTACACAAGCACGTGGAGAGATTGTATCGCTAGAGACGATACTCGCCGGTAGGCAAGCACGTGGAGAGATTGTATCGCTAGAGACGATACTCGCCGGTACACAAGCACGTGGAGAGATTGTATCACTAGTGATGATACTCGCCGGTAGGAAAGCACGTGGAGAGATTGTATCACTAGTGATGATACTCGCCGGTAGGCAAGCACGTGGAGAGATTGTATCACTAGTGATGATACTCGCCGGTAGGCAAGCACGTGGAGAGATTGTATCGCTAGAGACGATACTCGCCGGTACACAAGCACGTGGAGAGATTGTATCGCTAGAGACGATACTCGCCGGTACACAAGCACGTGGAGAGATTGTATCGCTAGAGACGATAGTCGCCGGTACACAAGCACGTGGAGAGATTGTATCACTAGAGACGATACTCGCCGGTACACAAGCACGTGGAGAGATTGTATCGCTAGAGACGATACTCGCCGGTACACAAGCACGTGGAGAGATTGTATCGCTAGAGACGATACTCGCCGGTACACAAGCACGTGGAGAGATTGTATCGCTAGAGACGATAGTCGCCGGTACACAAGCACGTGGAGAGATTGTATCACTAGAGACGATACTCGCCGGTAGGCAAGCACGTGGAGAGATTCTATCGCTAGAGACGATACTCGCCGGTAGGCAAGCACGTGGAGAGATTGTATCGCTAGAGACGATACTCGCCGGTACACAAGCACGTGGAGAGATTGTATCGCTAGAGACGACGGGCCTGAAAGGGGATTGGTTAGAGGCAAGGAAATTGAAGGAATTGGAGGAGAAATACGAGAAGCAAATAGTGAGAAACAGAGGACGATTGACAGGGAGGTCGGTTGGGGATCCATTAACACAAAAGTGGGAAGGTGATTGTTTGGAGGGGAAAGTGTGCCAAGGCACCTTCGAGAAAGGGGCTTGAGGGACACATAAGTGGAGGGAAACAAGAGAGCTATGAACGCTTGGAGTGAATGGAATTCTTGAAGACCCACGTGTCCCGTGCTGGAAGAAATCAATACTATTATTGGAAGACTGTCGTGTCGGGTGTGACTACATACGTACAAGTGAGGGAAAAAAGTATTTGATCCCCTGCTGATTTTGTACGTTTGCCCACTGACAAAGAAATGATCAGTCTATAATTTTAATGGTAGGTTTATTTGAAGAGTGAGAGACAGAATAACAACAAGAAAATCCAGAAAAACGCATGTCAAAAATGTTATAAATTGATTTGCATTTTAATGAGGGAAATAAGTATTTGACCCCTCTGCAAAAAATGACTTAGTATTTGGTGGCAAAACCCTTGTTGGCAATCACAGAGGTCAGACGTTTCTTGTAGTTGGCCACCAGGTTTGCACACATCTCAGGAGGGATTTTGCCCCACTCCTCTTTGCAGATCTTCTCCATGTCATTAAGGTTTCGAGGCTGACGTTTGGCAACTCGAACCTTCAGCTCCCTCCACAGATTTTATATGGGATTAAGGTCTGGAGACTGGCTAGGCCACTCCGGGACCTTAATGTGCTTCTTCTTGAGCCACTCCTTTGTTGCCTTGGCCGTGTGTTTTGGGTCATTGTCATGCTGGAATACCCATCCACGACCCATTTTCAATGCCCTGGCTGATGGAAGGAGCTTCTCACCCAAGATTTGACAGTACATGGCCCCGTCCATCGTCCCTTTGATGCGGTGAAGTTGTCCTGGCCCCTTAGCAGAAAAACACCCCCAAAGCATAATGTTTCCACCTTCATGTTTGACGGTGGGGATGGTGTTCTTGGGGCCATAGGCAGCATTCCTCCTCCTCCAAACACGGCGAGTTGAGTTGATGCCAATGAGCTCCATTTTGTTCTCGTCTGACAACAACACTTTCACCCAGTTTTCCTCTGAATCATTCAGATGTTCATTGACAAACTTCAGACGGGCGTGTATATGTGCTTTCTTGAGCAGGGGGACCTTGCGGGCGCTGCAGGATTTCAGTCCTTCACAGCGTAGTGTGTTACCAATTGTTTTCTTGGTGACTATGGTCCCAGCTGCCTTGAGATCATTGACAAGATCCTCCCGTGTAGTTCTGGGCTGATTCCTCACCGTTCTCATGATCATTGCAACTCCACGAGGTGAGATCTTGCATGGTGCCCCAGGCCGAGTGAGACTAACAGTTCTTTTGTGTTTCTTCCATTAGCGAATAATCGCACCAACTGTTGTCACCTTCTCACCAAGCTGCTTGGCAATGGTCTTGTAGCCCATTCCAGCCTTGTGTAGGTCTACAATCTTGTCTCTGACATCCTTGGAGAGCTCTTTGGTCTTGGCCATGGTGGAGAGTATGGAATCTGATTGATTGATTGCTTCTGTGGACAGGTGTCTTTTATACAGGAAACAAGCTGAGATTAGGAGCACTCCCTTTAAGAGTGTTCGTAATCTCAGCTCGTTACCTGTATAAAAGACACCTGGGAGCCAGAAATCTTTCTGATTTAGAGGGGGTCAAATACTTATTTCCCTCATTAAAATGCAAATCAATGTATAACATTTTTGACATGCGTTTTTCTGGATTTTTTTGTTGCTATTCTGTCTCTCACCGTTCAAATAAACCTACCATTAAAATTATAAACTGATCATTTCTTCGTCGGCGGGCAAACGTACAAAATCAGCAGGGGATCAAATACTTTTTTCCCCTCACTGTACGTTGGCCTTCTTTTGCACCATACGTAGCCAACCGTGCTAATCACAGAGGCGCGGCGGCGGCGGGGTGGGGGGGGGTACAAACAAAGTCAGGACGACCACGTAGCAGGGAACTCGCCCACGGTTCCCGGTGCCACGCGCGCACTCGCACACACGCCCACCGGAACATGACGGCGTTGCGCAGCGGGGTGCAGCCGTAGCGATCCTTGGCGTAGACGGTGGCGCCGTAGCCCAGCAGGTGGTCCACGAGCATCAGGTTCCCCTCGCACGCCGCCACGTGCAGCGCCGTGCGCCCGTCGTAGTCCTGGTCGCTCAGGTTCATACCCTGCTCCCCCGTGTGTGCACGCCGCGTTAGCCATCTAAGAGCACGGGCAGATCGAACTCGTGCCACGCCAGGGCCGGGCCGCCGGGCAACCAAGCGTTTGCCCGGAGAGACACGAACCTACTCGAGCAAAGGGTGAACTTGCAGAATTGCTCATTATATTTTTTTACATGGCAAGCTAATTCAAATTAGCGAGGTTTGACGGTGCACTTCTATGCCATAATTGAAACACACAGAACTGTAAAGAGCTGTGCTCCAGACCGTCAGTATTGACCAATAACGTCCCACCCGTGTGTTTGTGTGTTGAGCGAGCGAGGCTCCGCAGCCACCTGCTGCTCCATCCCCGATAATCGATGCCGAACCCTCAATGCGTGTACTGCGCCCGCAATATTTTTCGGACCTCAGCCGAAAACGTTAACGCTCTTCTTCTTTCAAATGGCCGATGTAGATGCAGGGCAACTACAATTTCAAATTCAGGTGGTCAAGCCAGACAAACGCGTCATGACCAGCGGAGTGTTATCATCACTGCGATGTCTCATTCGTATTTGTGGATCGGGCATTGCGTGGTTACATGGTCGTCCGAATGACCACAGTCGCACATGACTGGAGAGTTTTAAAATTTTACATTTTTGTATCAGGTATCCGTATCTGCCATGGTTTCTGCCGATGTCGTTTAGTTAGGGTGGGCCATGAGCTTCGTGGAAGATCAAGTCCAGTGTTGTGTGTGGAGAACTTCTTTCACACCATACGTAGCCAACAGTGCCAACATCGAGAGCACTCTACTCGAACTGAGATCCACGAGACATTCTCAGTGGCAGTTCCCTTTCTTGTTACATATTACAACGCTGTCAATACTGCACGACTGTCAGAATAATACACACAGCCTGCCAGGAAGACGCTCACACTCACCCCGGTCATTTGCTCACTCCAGAAGGGGGCAGAATTATCGTCACGTGACCCACGAGCGCTTGCAAGCCACTGCCCCCCCCACCCCACGACAGAAATATCGCGTCCACAAAATCTCCGCGTACCAGCTCATGAAGGGCCTCCATTGTGTGGATGTCTCCCGCCTTGGCTGCAGCACATGCCAGGATGGGTGCGATGGCATCACGCACAGCCTCCAGCTCCTGCGCCCGGAGTCGACGCAAACGTGACGAACGGCAGCGGCGAATAATCAACGAGGACGATTATTGCTAGGGTTTTGATGTTTGCACCCTCTGTGGGTCGGGGGCATCTCGGGGCGTCTTTACACGTGATAAGCAACTCAAACATCTCCATCCCCATCTCAACACAAATGTGTTTGCTGTGCGAGTGCGTGGCACACAAAGGTGACTCAGGACCGTGGTCCTACAAGTGGGCGGTTAGTCGTGCCGGTCAGTGGAGGGCGATGACTGCTGCCGTGTGCCAATCGCAACAGAGTAAATTTACGGAGTATTTTTTGGAATTTTCCAAATCTGGGCCGTGACGCCAGCACAGGATATTTCACGTCAGCCGAGTGAAGCAGACGGCGCGTAGTACATGATGGGTAACACCGCACCACTGCAGTGATAAAGAGGGCAGCCTGCTGGATTAGAAGCGTGAACCTCCAGAACCTGCAAATGCGGTGGTGCTAGGCCACGTCACCGCCTCTGGGTCTTAACCTGTGGCAATCAGACTTCCCATGGGTACCCCCGTGGGTATCCAGTGGCGATATGTTAACTACCTCGCCCGGTATACAGGAAGTCGTGGGTTCAGATCCCAACCCTGACACCTGTATATTCGGGGTTTGCGCGTCTCTCTCCCCGTGGTTGCATGGATATTTCTCTGGGTCCTCCGGGTTTTCCCCTCCACATTTAAAAACGTGCGTTTAGAGTATTTGGCTGCTATAAATTTCCACATAACCCACTTCGTTGAGCTATCATTTGTGGCCAGGTCACTTCTGAAATAGCTATATAGTTCAGTGGGCCTTACCTGGCAAATTAATAAAATAGGTCCGAGTGGGTCCAGGGGGTACAAGCGAGATAAATCATGTACCGGTGGTGGTCACGTGGAGTTTCATCAACCAGGGTCACAAAGCAACCCTTGGTTAATTTGTGAATAAAAATCTATTGTTATCAGGTTTAATAAAGCAGGGTTACAACTAAATGTCATTACAACACGTTGCAGATTAATCATCTTTAACATGAAATGTCACGTGTAAAAAAAAAAACTGAAGCATATACACGTAATAAAAATTTACACCACAATATTTAAGCGAGCAGGGTGCACGTTCGTAAGGGGGTATAAAACATGGGCAGCTGATCGGGTCGGTACACGACAAGGATGCACACACAAGAGGCTGTGGCGGTGAATTGCCTGGAGGTTGCAAAGCCACAAAACGCAGCCACACCATTTTTTTGTTCATTTCACTCGGCGATGCTCACCGAGCCGTTTCGGTCGCTCTTCTTCAGAAACGACCCGACCACGCAGAGGACGGCCCCAACATGGAAATTTCTAGCAGCCAAATGCCCCAAACCGCAATGTTGCTTCGAAACATCTCCCCCCCCCCCCCGACGACACCCCGGCCCCCTCCTACCCGCGTCGCCGCTCGCACGCTTCACTCGTCGCCTTCCGCAACTTTTGTTCCGCACCCACCCCCCCCCCCCCGTCCCCCGCCCCGGTTGAAACTTGCCTCCTTGCTGCTGACGCTCAGAGCCCGCGCCACAAACTGAATGAACTTGCTGTCGCGCAGCGAGATGGTGGGACCCTGGCGCAGGGCCGTCATCTCGCCACGTAGGTTTTCCGACAGCATCTGCACCGCGCCCAGGGAAAAACGAGCAGCACGGTGGTTCACGAAGATTCCAGGCATGGGTTTGCGTACTGCAGCGTCGCGCACGGCATCGCCGCGAATACCTTACGGGTCGTGCGGCCTCTGTTTGGGCATACGTCACTGTACTGGGCAGTGCAGCTTGGTGAAGGAGCATAGAGGTGCGGTATGAAAGAGGATTTTATGCACTGCCCTCTGGTGCCCAACGCGTAGCACTGCGGCACTTTGAGAGTTACAAATTGTTAAATAAACTTTCGGATCGGTGAACATTTAGCCTCACGCGTTCCCTTGCAGCCATGACGACTCACAAAATGTAAACGCAACAGGTTAGTTGGGTTTCACCAGATACAAGTACGATCATAATGTTCTGCAATTCACAATATCTTGCCGATCTCGTCAAGGACCATAAAACAATCAAGCGAACTCCGGTCATCCTCACAGCGGCTTTTGGCTAGGCGTCAAACAAAGACAGTCACCGCATCGCACGCTTTCAGATGCGCTTCTGCGGCCGTATGGAACACTCTTCTTTTCGATATTATGAAGCCACTTTTAAATATAGATTCAAACCTCATTCCTTTAGAACCGATTTTTGTGTTTGTCGTCCTTCCCCCGGCACCTACGATGTTGGGGAAAGTGCTGTTACCGAGCATCTATGAAGGCCAGAACCGCACAAGAGGAGGTGGATGGCCAGCACCACGCCCGGCCGCCTTTGTTTCCCCAGTGGCGATGTTAACACATTAGACCCGGTACTCATTTGAAGCAGAGTCGACCTAGGCGAGGCCCAGGATCAGATTAGCTACTTGTCACTGGTGTTGACCGAGCAGGATTCGAACCCGGGTCGCCAGGTTACACACACACTAAATCTCAGACAAAGCAAGTGAATGGCCTCATCACCTGGAAGCTGCATCTCTAACATTTGCTCTGCATTGGCTGTCCAGAATCGCTGTGGGAAGCAAGCAACGTGCAGGGGGGGGGGTGGGGGGCACCCACCTCACGCCGCTTCTTCAAGCTCAGCTTCTCCTTCCCCAGGATGTAGGAGAGCTTGGCCAGGGCAGCCTCGGGGGTCATGTCTCCTCCAGGAATGACGCCGTTGTCATTCAGCACCTTGGTCGCACGTCAACGAGACGAGTGGCACAAGATCGTCACCCACAGCACACACACACACACACCGCCCCCCTGTGTCCTGAAGACGACTTTTGGGGCAAGTGCCGTTATAGCAAGCACCTACGAGGACCGGTCCGGCACGAGGGGGTGGGTGGCCAGCACAACACCCGGCCGGCAATTACCTCTCTCGTGACCATGTTTACACACCACGCCAGGTACTCATTTAAGGCAGAGTCGATATGGGGGAGCCGCAGGAGCGGTTCAAATAATCGGCCGCGAGCAGGAACCGAACTAGTCTCCGGATTCGCACCTCCGACTAGCACGGTTGGCTACGTATGGTGCGAAAGAAGTTCAAACGCAGCACAGCGTGCTAGCTGCTGCGCCACCGCTGCCCCCAACCACATTATATCACACAACAACAACAACAACCGCCATTCGCCACTAAGTGGCGGTGACGTCACCACGACGCTTGTGCCAGGCTATGTGCACCCTGAGGCCACGTAAAGTGTCGAACGCCCGCTGGCAAGAGGTCACGGGGCAGACCCAGGTGCCACGGGTCGACTGACTGAGATGACTGAGATGACTGGCTGATGCACCAGCTGTGCCCCCTACTGTGCCAACCTGCTGAGCTTTAGCCACCCGGCGCTCCGCTCGTTGTTGTGAGCGTCGCTCCTCCGCCCTCCGTTGTTGTTGGAGGACGACTACCTCCAACTGCCCAGTAGCGTCCTTCACGAGCCTCCTCCACAGAGGCCGATCTTGACACCGCTGGTACCAGTCATCGGCAAGTCCACTCAGCTCCACGTTCTCCTGTACCACATCACTCCATCTCTTCTCTAGCCCGTGCCGAGCCCGCTTAGCCCCCTCGATCCGGCCGAACAAAAGCTGTTTCGGCATGCGGTGGCTGGGCATGCGGGCTACATGACCCGGCCATCGCAGCCTTCCCCGCCGGAGGAGCTCACCGATGGGACCCTGCCCAGATCTTTCAAGGATTTGTGAGCTCCTCACACAATCCAGTCTGGTTAAACCCAGGATGGATCGTAGGCAGGCCAGCCTAAATGTTTATAACCGGCGAAGATGTTCCATTAGGGGGGTCCACGTTTCGCAAGCGTAGAGAAGGAAGGGAATGACCGTGGCTGAGAAGACCTGAAGCTTCATGCGGAGCGACAAACCAGGTAGCTTCCACACAGCGTTACGCAACCGATGAAAAGATATTGCCGCTCGACTGATTCGGAGTGAGACCTCTGCTGTTAAAACTGGAGCCGGTCATAAGCACACCGCCCAGGCATGGGAAACTCTCCACTCTCTCCACAACCGCCCCATCACCGATTGGGACTTGTGGAGTGTCCGATGGTACAAAATACCCGCTCGCACGTACGACGAGCGTGACGACGCGGCAGCGGAGGAGGGGAGGCAGCAGAGGGAGGTTGGGGGGTGGGGGTGGGGGGTGGGGGGGCACCACCTTGCCGGTGGCGTAGGTCTCGCACACAGAGCCCCGCAGGCACTGCGTGCAGTTGACGACGAGGACCCCGCGGGCTGTCGCGCCGCGCAGCTCGCCGAGCAGGTCAGGCCGGTTGTCGGGCGCGTTGCCCGTACCGTACGACTCCAGTACCACGCCCTCCATGGGCGGCTGCAGGAAGGCTCGCACCTGGCGCACAAGCACACGCAGACACAGCCGCAATTTTACTTTCCCGCGCTCCCTCGCTCTCTACCGCTTTCGTACAACTGCGTTAAAGTTGAACGCCAATGTTTTTTTTTGGTTTTGTTTCGACCAATCCAAGGAGGCAGTGGCAGGCGCCGCCGGTGCGATTCGCAGCGACATCGCCCAAGGCCGTTGTGCAAAGATGACGGCGATTCGTTTGACCGTTTTGGACTTCACCGCGGGTCGCAGTTGTTCCGGCGACTATTTGTTCTTACGTTTGCGGAAGGTGGACGCGCATCTCCTACGCTGCGTTTGAGCGCGGTTCAGCGAGGTCTGTAGCCGCCGTCAGAGGGAGGGAGAGAGCAGCCCTTTTCCTCCACAGGTCGGGGTCCTCGATCAGATTTTAGTTTTTCCGCGGCTGTAACCAACGATTCCGTCCAAGCGAAGTGCCAATTGCATTTTAATATAAAAACAAAATGCCATCAACGGGATTCGTAGCGATTGCTTTCTTCTGCACAAAGGGCAGCGCTGAATTCGCGTTTTGTTCACCGCTTTCTCCTTGACAGATGCTAGAGATTTAGAGAGTCCCCCGGGGTAAAATGCGGTTCAGATAAACACGTTCACACATCACGTAACCGAGCACTGCCTGTGATACGCTTACACGAGGTGGGCGGGGGGGGGGGCAAGGACGCTATGCATCATTATTATACATCAAGAAACTCCTGATGCCATTTAATTACCAGACTGAGAGTTGCGAAACGAATCGTCGGTTGATTTTGCAACTGCCGTATGAAAGGGAAAACATTTGTGGCTGGCCGCACACCTGCTCTCCTGTACATATGTAGAACTTCTTTCGCACCGCATGTGGCCAACAGTAGCGTTGTAATTTGCCCGCAAGGAAGAGGTCTCTCTCATTCCACAAGCCTCGGCTCCCAGCACAGCCACTGTCTTTTAATCTTGGCTTTGATGACACGCTGCTATGTGCCAAGCCAAAGTGCAGTTGGCAACAGCTCTGTATTGCCATAATATAGGCCTATATAGAATCATGTATTGTTATCTAAATCAGACAAAAATGTAAAAAAAAAACACAATTTTTCTTCCAATAGCTCAATCTCCAATAAGTATTGAGTTGTGAGCAAGGATAGTGATGAATCACTACCGTTGTCTTGAGTTGCCACCTTGCAAACTCGGGCAGTCTGGGAAATTGGCATCGGGTTTTGGGCATCAGGAATTTATTTTGTACTGAGAACTAGTACCGGTAGAGTTAATCATCATCGCAGGATTCTGCACAGGATTGATGAAAGACCCAGGCTCACCGAGAAACATGTCAGGGTTTGGTCTACAGTGGAAAGTGGCAAACCTGTCCACACATAATGTTGAACTTCTTTCGCACCGTACATCGGCAAACCATACCAATCATCGCAGGTGCGTTGAAAAAGTTCTAGATTTGAAGCTTTCGTGACTGCAAGGATCCATACTCTTTGGTTCTATTCGGTAAAGTCGCGTAGGTAAAAATAAAATAACAAAAAATCACGACGTTTCGGCCACAACACAAGCGGCCTTCATCAGGTGAAGGTACTGGACTGTCCAGGTGAAGGGACTGTCCCTTCACCTGATGAAGGCCACTTGTATTGTGGCCGAAACGTCGTGATTTTTTGTTATTTTATTTTTACCTACGTGACTTTACCGAATAGAACCAAAGAGTATAAAAAATTAGTTGTCAATTTAGAAGCCTCGCTCTCGCAGTCTGCATCACTGTCGCCCCCCCCCCCCCCCCCCCCACACAGCAGCGGCACAGCAGGCGAGGTCCTGCAGAACACACCGTGGCGGCTGTGATGCCGGGGAAGAGCCGAAGGAGGCCCACATTACGGTTCATGTTGGTGTGCACGCAGAACGGGCGCGTGGTGTTGGATCTCCACACCTCCTCCCAGGTGACTGCAAGCAACACGCACGTACAAACGCAGAGATTCACAGTGGTAGCCCTTACACACTGTTGGGGCAAGTGAACCTTATTGGCCAGACCCCGGGGTCCCGCATAAACGCGAGTCAAAATCGTAACAAACGTATTTATTTTTTGGCCACTCCATCCCCACGGCGCACATAAACGCCGCGTCCCATTCTGTTGTCACGTCGTCCAAGCGCAGCGCGGGCGAATGCGCACTCCGTGCTCGGGTATGGGCAGGATCACGAGTCTTATCCAAAGCTGCTCAAACTGCCTAAGACTTAAATCCTTTATTTGTCATAACGGTACGCAAAATACAATGAAACTGCTCTCTTATCTTCATTATTATTTGTGACCTACCAATGTTTGCAGCCAGGATCAATCGATGACAACTCTATTACCTGCAGATATTTAACAGGTGCGTCGCACCGTTAATTCCTCCTGTTTGATAATACTTCTCTTGTCCGTATTCATCTGGGCAGATAGGTTTTTTTGCGGTTAAGCCATAGTCCCCACATACCACTCGTATCAATGCGGATATGAGGAGCGGTGACCCACTCTGTAGAGTAACATTGGTATAAACGCTTGTTACAATATGAACAGCACATTAAAAATGCGTACTATTTTATGTACTGTTTACAAAGTGTGTTCACAAATCCACACTGAGAAACACGATGATTGACAGAGGGGTGTAAATTATTTTTTCGATAGTGCTTTTAAATAGAGGTACTTCAGCTAAGTAGTTTTCAGTTGTAAAGGCATAGTTTAACAAGACAACACTTGCCACCATCCTTCACACCCAATGGTGAAGAAGAGATAAGTTTTTGTTTACATTGTAATATAATGTTTACATTATATATCATATATAATGTTTACATCGTAATATAATGTTTACATTATATATCATATATAATGTTTACATTGTAATATAATGTTTACATTATATATCATATACGTTTACATTGTAATATAATGTTTACATCATATATAATATATAATGTTTACATTGTAATATAATGTTTACATTATATATAATATATAATACGTACATTGTCATATAATGTTTACATTATATAATATATAATGTTTACATTGTAATATAATGTTTACATTATATATATTTATAATATAATGTTTACATTGTAATATAATGTTTACATTATATATAATATATAATGTTTACATTGTAATATGTTTACATTATATATAAAATATGTTTACATTGTAATATAATGTTTACATATTCTATAATATGTTTACATTGTAATGTAATGTTTATATTATATATAATATATAATATAATGTTTACATTGTAATATAATGTTTACATTATAATATATATAATATGTTTACATTGTAATATAATGTTTACATTATAGATATCATATGTTTACATTGTAATATAATGTTTACATTGATATATAATGTGTTTACATTGTAATATAATGTTTACATTGTAATATAATGTTTACATTGTAATATAATGTTTACATTGTAATATAATGTTTACGTTATATATTATATATAATGTTTACATTGTAATATAATGTTTATTTATGCGAGAGCCGGGGGTTTATGGGATCCCGAGGTCCCGCCATAAGGTTCAAGTGCTGTTAGCGAACGCACACACACACACACCACACATGAGATTTGATGGTGTTCAGCATCGTCGCCTTATTGCTAAACACACAAGCAAATTGTTCCAGTTTGTTTTCTCGGCATTCTTAGAAAAAGCGCAATGCTCTTCTAAGAACGGCGTGGCGGGTATAGTTTTCCTGTAGCGGGCAATGTTGCCGTGTGGTATTTACCAAATTCAATCAATTGCCAGTAAATATTTAAAGTTGACCAATTTGGACCACAACGCCAACCACACACTGCCCACCTCTACTCTCTGCAACAATGTCACAGAATCACGTCCTCGCAGCGGCTTTTGGCTGGCTATCGAACAAAGACGGTCACTGCATCGCGCACTTTCAGATGCGCTTCTGCGGCCGTCTGGAACGCTCTTCCTTCCGGTGTTAGGAAGCCACCGGAGCTGTGCACTTTTACATCTACAAAGAAAACTAATTTCTTTAGAACAGCTATCTATGTCTATTTTTTTTTGCCCTTCACCCTTACCTCTGATTAGCACGATTGGCTACGTACAGTGCAAAAGATAAACATACACTGAAGTGCTGTATTTCTGGCCAACGCACACCGCAGTATTAAATCAAGACCGCCAGTGGAACGGAACCACAAACCTCTGCAACGGCTACAAAAATGTGCTTTCGCTGGCGATGCAGAGTCACTGTCAACAACAACCTCGCAGCAAACGCTTCAGGCAAAACAGTGGGAACATCGTATTAAGACTATGTGCACCTGGGCGTTCTACTGAATTATGAGGTTTTGGATCATTCCATCGAGCACACCAACACCAAGCGCGTGCTACTGCTCCCGACACCATAGCAGCGCGTTTCCTGAATGCTTTGCTCGAGAAGAGTTTTCCTAACAGGCTGATTTTCGGTCAGGATCGTTCGCTTGATCTCCAACAACTGACGCACACTTCTATTGGCGCAGGATTGGGGAGCCCTTCATCCAGCAGTGGATTGATCATGGTCGTTGACGAAACAAAAATACGGCACGCTGCTGACATTGTTACAGCTCTAGTGCGAAACATTTTAAATAAACCCTTTCCGAAATAAGCAAGTTCTCTAAAAAAAAAAAACTCCGCTTCAGCATACAAGAACACACCGCCACCACGAGTCGCCCAACTTAACCAGACCCTCATTTGCCTCCCGTCACCAACACTCCAAAGGATCGCTCTTCCCTCCACTATGCCTCTCCCACTGTTATCATTCACTATCCCCCCCCCCTCAACCCACGTGGGACCCCAGTTACACAGTTCCGTTTCACCCCACGCATTGCCCCATCCAACCCCGTCTGACCGTACGCTTGAGGACCTTCCCCGTTTCGATTTAAAGCTTTCTTGACTGCAGGGATTCATCTTCTTGGTTCTTTCGGTAAAGTCACGTTGTTTCGATTTAAAGCTTTCGTGACTGCAGGGATTCATCTTCTTGGTTCTTTCGGTAAAAGTCACGTAGAAGGGAAATAATAAAATAATAAAAATAAAACGTAATAAAATTAAATTCTCACTACGTTTCGGCCACAACACAAGTAGCCTTCTTCAGGTGAAGGAACAGAACTGTCGGGACGACAGCGCTTTTATTTTTTATTATTTTATTTCCATTCTACGTGACTTTGCCGAAAAAACAAAGAAGATGACCGTCCCCTGGTTTGATTTAAAAAAAAAAACACTTCTGGTAAGGAAAACAAAGTGGGCACAACCAAAATATTGCTTTGCACGTGGCCATCCAGTTGGCATGAGCCATTCCCGCACCTCCGATTAGCACGGTTTGGTTATGTAGGGTGCAAAAGAAGTTAAATGTATATACATAGATCAGAAATACGCAACGTTTGTCAGTGCCTGACAGTGTGGGGAAGTTTTCTTTGGATAGCACGAGGTTGTTATGAAATGTCAGACAATTGGTAGCTCATGCAATGTAAACCAAATGACTTCACAAGGAGGTAATGTTTTTTATTCTTAAAAAGAGACAATGGGAGGTTAAGGAATGCATTCATGAGAGTTTGGGTTTACGGCCAGTGATTATTTTAAAAATATGTCCTTAGTGCAACAGAAAACCAAGTGGTTTCAGAGAGCTGTACAGGATAAAATGTGTGCACGTAATATAAATCCAAAACAAAAACACATTCGTGGTATCCGCTTCAAAATTCTTACACACACACACACGTGGCAATTAAACCACCCCATAAAGTAACACTACCTACATTTCTCAAGCCGAGTTAAAACCATTTCCACACAGGCATGCCATGCGTACAACACATGGCATGCTACAAATGCACACTACATAGTTCTACCTAAGTGTTGTTTCAGGTTGTATTAATTGGCTTCAAGTGTTTTTAATTATTATTATTACTGTGTATTCCATCAGGGGAGATTGTTAACAGACTGGCAGAGGAAACTAAAGCTGCCACAAAAATGTGAGGAAACTCCCAAGGACACTCAAAATTTGTGCCATTTGCATGAATTAAGGTGGAAGTCCAAAACACTTCGTCTCCATTCAGAATATGACAGCAAAAGGCATATTTTATCATTCAAAGTTGATTTTTGGGTTACGCCTCAGTAATGATGTGCCCAAATTGTATTGCGATGCCCTCCATCACCCAGCACAGCCACAACAAATTAAATTGTCACGTGCACGTGCGTTTAACGTGCCGAATATTACAATGTCTGCCTACCGCTAAGTTGGAAGAACGATTCTCACAACCAAATTCACAATTGCACTCCAACTTACAACAATAACGGGCGCGTCGTTGAAAACGGTCATACACCTGCGACTATTTAATTTAGCCAGATCCTTGCCATGAGGCCGAACCCAATGTAGCCGGTGTGAACTCACTCGCGATTAAAATCACGCTTGTTAAATGTGCACCCCTGCAGCATACGGGAACATAAGAAACCATTTTGCATAGCTATGGATGAACAGATTCGGTTTATTATTATTGTTCTAAGTGAATGCGACGGTGATCAGGGATTGGACCAAGCCCCCCCACGTGCATGGCAGAGTAGGAGGCACGCCCCCCACAGTTTAAATTTGGGCGGACTTGGTGTCAAGGGATTCAGCTGCGGTGTTGTGACATGGAGGGTGTGTCCCTGATCGCTACTGCAGATACGTCACTGCCCTTCTGAAGAGGACTTTTGAAATGAAATTTGCCGTTTCACAAACCCTCTGGTGCAGCTCAGCCGTTGTGGGGGGGGGGGGGGGGGGGTGGTCGCCCACTTCGCTGGAGGACATGACACAAATGCAGAGTCGCTACTCATAGTCTGCTAACTTTTTTATTGTTGTCCGTTTAGCCAACCTGTCCTCACCCCTCGCAAGGTTTCACAACGGGAGCAGGGGCATGGCGGACCCGGCTTCACCAGGAGTAAATAATTAATCACCGTAGCCTTCTACGAAGACCTACCCACGCATCATATACACCACAGTGACCTTTACCAACAGAACACGGAGCAAGTGCCCAGGGCTTTTCCCCTGAGGAGTGGATACCTTTCATGTCGACCTGCGCGTTACCAAGCGGCGGCATGTTGGGCGACTGGAAGGCCTTGAAACTTCCCGCGTCCACCTTTGTGACACGGCAGCCACGGTACAGCTTGTGATGGAAGTACAGCCCAACCTGCGGGGAATGCCAATCGCAGGCAATTGGTTAACAACGTTCCGTTGGGATCGTTTGCACCGTAACATTAAAAAGGAATGGCCCTTATTTCTCATCTTTGCTCCAGACAAGCGCGCCAACCGCTACACTACCACTCGCCACGCGCACCCGACACCAGGCTCAAAAGATATCCACATATCCGCAGGATAAATAAGAGAGTTGGCACCACGAAGACGCCCTCTCGACATCCGGAACAAGCAGGGGGCGGCCTCACCTCTGGGATGACGAAGTGTCCTGCGAAGAGCAGCGCTCCCAGGAGGTTGTCTCTGCCATCGCTCCGCATTTCAAATATGGGCACCTGCGTGCAAGGAGAGGACTGAGCCATCGTTAATTTAAACGGAAAAATTAAAACTTAAGATTCATCGATTTTTTTTTTGGTTTGCGGTCAGGCCACGTAGCGACGACCTCGTCAAACTTCTGTTGCAAAACGCGCCGCAGCGAGACAAAATTGTCACGTGGCATACGCGCAAGTGCGGTGATAACGCGCCAATTATGGCAATGTTGACCGTGGCTTGGAATCAAACTCGGGCAGTCGGGTCCGGGTCCGGAGCATAGGACAACACTAGCCGCTACTCCTCCTTCCCCCAGGCAGTATGACCCACACAACTCTCTCTCCTGCGTGAGCAACGTTAATATGGCAAATAGCAGGTGCCGTTTAAGCACAGTTATACAGACAGACAGGCTATACCAGCTTGACTTGTTAAATAGTGACAGTGATGGGCCAAGGATTTCATCCAATCTGTTTCATAAAAGCAGCGATGATGCACAGTGTTAAGCCGGAAATCAAGCTCTGTTCCCTACATTTCCAGATTAAATTGTAATCATCTCCAGATCATTATATTTATCTTGCATTCCGAATCACGTGTTGAACGTCTTTCCACAAGTACCTCACTTTTTTTTTTACAAATTACGTGGCGATGTTGCCGTGTTGACAGTCGAGTACAAACACAACGAACAGAAAAATCCATTCGTAAATAAGTGGCCATGTGAAGAAGGGCAAATTCCCGAAATGTCACTTACTAAATATTTTTCCCATGAATGCATTTTTTCCCCCCACTACTTTACGACTGTACTCTCTGGACTGTGCCCAATCCAGGAACCTCACGAAGCGAGGATTCGTCATTCTTGTCAGGTCAGCGATTTTACTGCTCAAATGAGCATCGAGGCAGTTGACCATCCCACATTCCTATGGCAGGGGGAACCTAGTCAATCCGCCCTCAACCAGGATTTTCCCATTGAGAGCCACTCGCTCGGCTTCGTGGCTGAGCCACCTGGCCAAAAACAGCCAAATCGGTCAATTTTGAGCAATAGCGTCAATTGAGATTTGCACAAAATAGGAACACCTGATTTACTCGTCTCCTTTGGGAGATTGATTATTCTCTCATCAACACTTCGCCCCAAGTTTTACATTGCAATAGGGGGCAACATGGTGTCAGGAGCATCTCAGTAGGTGGTTTCAAGGAGGGAAATTATTGGCAACATTGCAGATGATATTTTTCACAAATAACCAAGCCCTTTTTTTTTCTTGTTCAGATGGCGCACATGTACAGGCTTGCAGATCTTACATGGTGGTGCACAGAGGAAATACACAGTTAAGCATGCCTGTCCCGACCCCCAATCACTCCGGCAACATCAGCTGTTGACGTGAATTTGCTGACTGCGGGAGAACCGATTATTGCCAAAGGCTATCGGGACAGAAACCAAATTCCACTCACGCCTAGCCCTGACAAGGGTTGGCAGTTAAATCGAATACAATTGGAATCTGACAAGGAGAAAGAATGTCAAAGCAGATCAAAACTTTAAAAAGGGACTGTATTAACAGGGATTTAGAGGCATTAGTGACAGCGGCATTTCGATCTGTGAAAAATAAAATATACTTTTTATTTTACAGGGCAAGGTCCACCGAGCTATACAGCTCTTTTTCAGAAGCGACCTGGCCACAAATGATAGCTCATCATGTGGCAATTTATAACAGCCAAATACTTTAAAACGCATGTTTCTAAATGGTGGCGGGAACCGGAGGTCCCGAGGGAAAAATCCACGCCGACTCCAAATATACAGCAGGCGTCATCAGGGTCCAGATCGAACCCACGACCTCCTGCATACCAGGCGAGGGAGTTAACATCTCGCCACCGCAGCAAGGAAGGAACCGCAGCAGCCAGAAGGCAGGGCCGTCGCGTCTGTGAGTGGCCACCTGCGAGCCGGTGAGGATGATGGTCTTGCCCAGATGTTCGCACATGAAGGAGAGGGCTGAGGCTGTGTATGCCATCGTGTCGGTGCCGTGCAGAACAACGAAGCCATCGTAGGCCTTGTAGTGTTTCTGCACGGGGACAAAACGCACAAAGGTTAAGATTCCCCCATACAGCCTTAAACAGACTGTTGGGATGACTTTGAGGTCGAGTCGATCTAGGGGAGACCCAGGACTCGTTCAGAGAAATATTAACTGGTGTTGGCCGCGAGCAGGAATCTTAACCCAGGTCGCCAGGTTCATAGCAGAACGGTAACCAACAAGCTGCACGACCACTCCCCGCAAAACGCACAGGCACACACGAGGACTGGTTTAAATAATGTATTCTCACCCATCAGTTGAATCTAAAATCCACTCCTGCCACCTTCCTTCACACTTGCTCGACTTTGGAATTCCCTTCCAGAATCCCTTTTCACAAGTACTTATATAATATTTAAATATGTTCAAACAAGAAACGGATGATTCTAGATTTGAAGCTTTCGTGACTGCAAGGATCCATACTCTTTGGTTCTATTCGGTAAAGTCACGTAGGTAAAAAATAAAACAACAAAAAACACATTTGAAAAAACAACAAAAATCAAATCAAATTGTTGTTTTATTTTTTACCTATGTGACTTTACCGAATAGAACCAAAGAGTAAAAAAACGGATGAGCTCTTATCTATACAAAGTTATTCGTGCTGGTTGTTTCTGGTCACTTATTGCATTGGAGCACTGAGAGCCTTTACTCAGCCACTGTGGACACAAAAGAAAACTTGCACACGATTAAGCAAAATTCCAGTGCAGAGAATGTCTCATCTGGAAACACAAATGACTGCACATAACCATCATAATACATTTGGATTTGCATTTCCTTTGCTAAAATACAGCTCCCGATTATAATAACAAATATCAGCCTGGCTGGCAAATGCAACAAACGTATCTCCCTGTCCCAGGGTGGGTGGGGAAAATGCCACCCCCTGGTGTGGATATTAACAGGTCACTTGAAAGGAGATTTCACCAGCAGTTCTGAGATATCGCAATCTGCAGACCGATGTCTGTATGGGGCGAAATGCTGCTAAGAGAGATTTCCGAATATGTAATTAGTTTCACGAAATGACACCCCACAGCACAGATTAAAATTGGTGGGGGTGGGGGGGGGAAAAAGTTAGGAATGTATTTGATATCGGGATTATTAGTCTATTTGAATGGAGGTACAACAGGACAAACGACCATTTATGCTTAAAATAACTGCAATTGCTACGACAGAAAACTATGTATTGTCTGCGATGCAAATTTCCATCAATTAGCATTGCAGAGTTACACTGCACACGCGATTTTCTGTCCCCCTCCAAATACTTTAAGGGCCCTGTATAATACCACTCGGGCCACAGAGCCCCTTACATGGGGGGGGGGGGCCTTTGCACCACTTTTCTGGCCCCTATAATCTTGCTTGCCCTGGGGGACCGCTGCAATCCCAGTGGGCCCGAGCGTGACGATATCGCGCCACGCGAGGCCACAACGGAGGAGCGGCGTGCAGCGACAGACTGGGACTAAAAATCGGCTCAGGCATTTGTGAACATTGGCCCAAATTCGGGCTATGGACGGTATATTATTCTTAGCTCTTTCGGTAAAGTCACATTGAAGGGAAACAATAAAATAATAAAATATATATAAAACAAAAAAAATTCTCACGACGTTTCGACCATAACACAAACGGTCGTCATCAGGTGTCGGTTTGCATAAATTTATTTATTTCGAAACGGTGTATTTATTTATTTATTTAAAAACGTCAGCGCCACGTGCAGCGATTTGGCAGTTTATTTAGAAAGACTAGTTTTTATAAATAAATACACCGTTTTAAAAATAAATAAATTTATGCAAACCGACACACCTGATGACGACCGTTTGTGTTATGGTCGAAACGTCGTGAGAATTTTTTTTATTGTTTTATATATTTTTTTTATTATTTTATTGTTTCCCTTCAATGTGACTTTACCGAAAGAGCTAAGAATATGAATTACTGCAGTCACGAAAGCTTTAAATAAAAAAAAGATATATATTTTTTGTTAAAATGGGTTGTGCAACACAAATTGTATACGAGTAGCTAGATTTACCATGTGACGTACTCGTGTGATTTTGCTGTGCGATCTCATTGGGCCATTTGGGCTAGGCCCAAAGAGCAAATGTGAAGCAGACACATGAGGTAACAACATATTTTTAAAAAAATATATATAAAAATTATTCCGATCACATTTGGTATTTCCCCGACAGACCGGCCCATCGGCCCTCAGAATGGACCGGCCCACCGGGCATTTGCCCAATGGACCGTTGGCCCATCGCGAGTGCGAGCATGGCGACGTACCTCGATGTCCTTGGCAATGACGGCCCAGTCGTCCGTGGTGATGTTGCACGAATCCAGCAGCGGGCTGTACTCCAGCACCGTGTAAACGATTCGCTTGTGGTGCTTGGATAGCCTGTGCCGCAGAAAGCACGAAAGACAGAGGGGGCAGATGAAAAGCCAACCAAGTGTTAAATAATAACGTAATAATAATAATAATAATCTGCGCCAATAAACGCGTCTTTCACAAAAAGGCTCAAGGCAGTGTGAATGAAAAGGAGGCGTCAATAAATAAAGCATCAGCTGGCAGAATAAATGCCGAAGGAGGACCACCATTAATGAGGGCAAATATATATCTCTTTTTTTAAACAGAGGGGATTAAAAGGACGTCAGCACTGTTGGCGACAGCCCGATCTCCACAGGTAAAGGGAGTCGCACAGCTGGGGGGGGCCCGCCACAGGAAGCGTCGGATCACTCTGAAGAACGTCACAGAGATAGGAAGGCACGTGCATAAAAGGGGCACCACATCAGCAGGTCTCTCTTAAAGGGCCATGCGCCAAAGGACGAGATCGAATTAGCTTCAGAATGTCAAGTGGAGGCAAGCCCTCGCCAAGGCCTTACATGCGAGCAACGTTATCTTAAATTCCAATGCGATGAAGCGAGGACAGGCGCAATGATGTTCCCGCTACGATGGGACGTGCGCAAGCACCCTGGCTGCCGCATTCTGCTGTCTGCAACCTGACCAGGACCTTACTCTGGACCCCCCCCCCCCCCCAAAATAACGAGGCTTTGCAATAGTCAATCAGCAAAAATACAAATGGAGTTACCCCTATAGACTCGTGATTTCAGCTCTAAAAATCGTCGCAATCGGTAAGCGGGTATTAGCTACCATCTCAATTCGATTCGTAACCGCACTTTTTCTGGCAGTGCTTTAAATGTCCAAATGATGATCCACTTTGTCGAGCTATCATTTGTGGCCAGGTCGCTTCTGAAAAATAAGTTCATACCTCGGTGAACTTTGCCTGATGGGAATGGCTGAGTTTTACACTGTATGTTTTTGGGCGATAGGCTCACCTTTCTTGAGCTGTGCACTACTATCGTGTTTTTGTATTGTTTGTTGTTGTAACGTTCTTACCCGCGCTCCTATCTGTGAAAAAAAAAAGCTTTATAGCGCATCCGATTCCTCCAGTATCAATATTCTGATCAACTTAACACGGCCAGGTGGCAGCAGTGGCCACGTGGCACAGTGGCAGGGCTGGGAGAGGACGAGGTTTCCTGGAACACAGCCCTGGCTGGCGTGCGCGCCATCGCACCGCGTGCTCGTTAAGCAAAGCTTGGGAACCCATCCCGGCGACCACCGGCACGCATTTATCATGCAAAACGCATGCTTCATTAATCCCCTAATTCCCTGCTACACCGTGGAATGTGGCACCAAAGCAATTTGAAACAAACCGCTCAAGGGAAAAGAAGCCCTTTGTAAATGGATCTCTTGTTATACATACACACAATAGAGGTTTTAAGGGGCCCACAGGAAAGCCTGGCTTTGTATGAAGACCAATCATGTGCAGGCTGACGTGCCTTCCTTGGCATCACTCCAGTGTAGGAGATAATGCCTCGTGTTCACAGCAACAAAGCAACCAAACATCCACAATGCCACTATTCCAATTAGCGAGGGGGGAGGGTAATGGGTAAAATAAATAACTTGGTTCTCCAATGTGCGTTCTCGGGTTGTGCCTCGCGTTCTCGGGCACGATGTCTGACGTTTTGCTTCCAAGTGCGCTGGAACTTTCAACAGGAACAATTCAGTTACTCAAAGCTAGGTCCCAGTCCATGGACCGAAAACAAATTGGAAATCGATCACACTCAGCAGGATGCCGTAGCGGCAGAAGGTGTTTATCGGATCAATTGCTCATGCGGTAAGTGTTATATTGGACAGACGGGACGTAACATCAGCGCGAGACTAAAAGGACACCAAAGGAACATTAAATTCTCTCAAACACAACTGTTGGCAGTGGCAGAACATGCTTGCCAACAAGGACAGTCAATTTATTTTGATAACGTTGAAGTGTTATGCAGAACTAATTATATGATTACTGGCCAAGACTAGTTAAGAGAATCAATCGAAATTAAGAATTCAAATAATTTCAACCGCTGTGACATCTAGACTTAGCTCGGAAGGAAGCGTGTTTTAAGTAATACACACATTGAAATTCCTTACAGGGGAGTCACAAGTGGCCGATTACTGATCTATTACATAATTGCATAGACCCCACCCCCAACTCTGCCTGTGATCTCGAAACCTGATGGGGTTCAACAATAATGACGTCATCCTGCACTATTTAAGACCGGAAGCAAGTGGCTGGCTTCACAATTCTGGCAAATCGCCCGAAGATACCGGATGTCATTTCCAGCGAAAAGTCGTACTCAAATTGTAAATGTTGTGGATTCACTCTTCAACACACCGGTGGGCTAAAGTAGCGAGTGCTGGAGGGTTGCGACACATTCATAAATAACGCGCTCTAACCCACAAACCTTTATTATGAATAATACTGGTCAAAAGCCTACGGTGTTAAACTGGCAGAAAGTGCATCAGGGCAGAACACAAAACACGACACCCTGCCGTGATGTTTATTGTAATGGGGTTAATTTTTCCAAGGGCTTGAAGGAGGGTAGTGTGGGTCAGTAAAAAAAAAAAATTGGTAACATTTTTTTAAAAAGTAGTGAACTATTTGTCTTTTGCCAACGCGACACTTTTTTTTTACCGATTGGCCGTTTGCACTCACGAGTAGAAAATAAATTAATTTCACCATATATTAATAACATTTGATGTGCTAAATAAATATGGGTGGCTTCCTTTTGTGATGTTTCATTTTCTTCATGCAAGCCACCCACAATTGAGCGCATCACTCGATTAATTCCGGGGTTAAAAGAATTAATTTATATTTGTGAGTGCAAATAAAAGTGCATGTGCATTGAAAAACTTGTTTTTTTAACCACTTTTTGTATCGTTTTAAAATAATTGATTGGCAGCGGTTAAAGCAGGAAAGTGTTATTTTAAATTCGCAATGCAGAAGGGGAGAGTGGAGTAAGTTGTAGCATTATTGTTAAAACGCGTTATATGTACGGTGAGGCATTGTAACCTTTTTATGTTTAAGTCCCACTAAAACATAGTAAAGACTTCCAACGTAAAATCTGGTCATTTGCATACAGTAAGCTTATGTAAAGTTGAAGTTCAGTAAAGAAATTGAAGTAGCATTATTCCCTGTTTATGCATATGCAGATTTTAAATGCGATTTACAGGGGGAGAGAGAGCATGCACACGGGAAATATGTACACAGTGTTAGGATGGAACCCAGGCACTCCTGTATACCAGACGAGGTAGTAAACACCTCACTACTGCATGATGTTAACTGTGAAGAACAGCAAGGCTATAACCCTCAAGGTCTACGAAGAAATCGAAAGTAAAGCAGATCTGAGCGGGGGGACAGTGGCTGCAGGGGGTGCGCCCACCATGCACAAGCAGGCTGTCACAGGGCTGGTGGGGGCACGTTGTGTTTAAATGCAGTTGTACTATACACGTCTATGCTGCCCACCTTTAGCAACCCGCACTGAACCATGGGCAGGCGAGTTATAGTCAAACAGCCTCCGCAACTAACACGGCGTGTGGAGGCCGACATCCAGCAGTGGAAGGACAGGTCCCTATGCTCTTGCAGGCATTGTGCAGCACTCATCTCGACCAGTGGAGATTGCGCATTGCCATGGCTGGGGGCCGTGTTTAACAACCGCTGACGACTGCGCACGTGAAGCGGAACCAATGTTGTGAGCGTGCAGAGATGGCAGTGATGTCTAGCCTATGAGTAGTTTAGTAACTGGTAAGCATGCACATTGCTATATGACGGTGGAGTGGAATGACATTCAGGGAGACGGCGAGATGTATAGCGCGCTTAATTGTGTTTGTGATCGTTCAGTACTGGAGAGTATGCACGACGGAAAACACACATGGACTGCAATGTTATAACAATGCGTGTGTACGCCCAGCGGTGTATGTATCGCGACAGGGTATGCAACGTGCAGAGGCAGCACTTTAATTTAAAGGAGTTATATCAGCAGTCATAATTATAACATTTTTGTCAATTACAATGGTTGATAACGTGACGATAGTTAGATAAAATCGTGATCACGGTTCTCAGCTGCACACGCAACTTGTGCATAACCATGCCGCCCTCAGCGTGTCAGAAGGGGCCGTTTGCCAAGCAAATTAAAACGCTATTTATAACGATTAAAAGTATGTAATTATGTTAAGAATAGCAAGAGTAGCAATTATTATTGATTTTGTAGTTGGTCTCGCGCAGGGGCGGAGCCAGGATTTTCAGCCCGGGGTGACATTCAACAAATGTTAATTTCAAGAATGATTTAGAGAGTCAGGCTGTTGAACTAGACGCCATCGGTTGGCGACACACTCTGACAATGCAGTTGCACGGAGTCCGCCAGACCGAGTGTCGACAACTTATACGCAGAATGTCACCCCGGTACTCTAAAACGCACGGAGAAAAATCCACACAACCACGTGGAGAACATGAAAACTCCAAATGTACAGGCATCAGGGTTGGGCTCGAACCCACGACCTCACGCATATCAGGTGAAGTAGTTAACATCTCGCCACCGTGGCAGGCCTGGTGAGAGAACACAACGGGGCAAGGAGAGCTCTTGGAGAAGCTGGGCGGTTTAAATGAGGGAGTTTCCCTTGTGTTGAACCAGTGCTGCGCCATGCATTTGCAGCAGAAGGCCATGTTGGTTGATGGGATGTTTAAAACAATGAGATGTTTATGAAATGATTTTACCCTTCCTGGCAATAAAACAGTTGCGTTAAGATGTTCAAACACCAAACAAACATTTTGCAAGGAATCATGTCCGCATTAACCACACACAGTACTTGTGGTGATTATGCAAACAAACAAAAAACATGCTCTGGTAATATAATACATTGTCTTTGAAACGGATTGGTCTACACCAGAGACAGCCTTCTTTAGGGCCAAGTCTCAACCAGTGCTAGACCAGAGTACGCCAAAAGGCGAACAAGCCTTGTTTGTGTGCGCGCGCGCGCGTGCGTGTGTGGGTTATAGTAGGAGGCGTGTGTCTGCGTGTTGATGTCACTGCGCGTGCGTGGAGGCTCACGGCAGCACGAGAATGTTCTCGCTGGAGCCGTAGTGGTCATAGAGGTGAGTCTGCTGGGCGTAGGCCTCGTCGTGCAGCATGGGCAGCCGGCGCAGCACCTGCACAAACGTGTTCGCCCGGGGCGCCAGCACTGGACAGATTGAGAAAGAACGAGAGAACGCACCACAAGCTTAGGCGACGGAGAGTTCACGCACGGCACTCCCCCAAGCGCAATTACATTCTGCCTTCAATAGTTCAAAATTAACAAGACAACTCGACAGGCCGACGGTGACTAGGCAGCCGAGACGGATAGGAGGCAAAGGGAAGGGGGGACTGTACCGACTAAAAACATTTCTTTCAGAAGGTTAGTTTCATATTTTAACTTCGCCACTTCTTCCGCTGCCCTCCCCCCCCCCATTGTCATTGATGTAAAGCGCCTTGGGAGATTTTATGAATGGTGCTAAACAAGCTGTAGGTATTTTTATTACCATCTGCGACGAATATCATCTGCGACTTGGGTCGTCCTGTCAAAGATTTTAAATTTATCTTGGGATTATTGACTGGGAGACTGTCAAAACAGAAAATTGCTCCTGCCTAATCAAAGGGGCTAAATCCGACACCTTGGCTTGGAATTGGAGGATCGCTGCTCCTATGCACTATCGTTGCGTATGATCTCACGTGATAATTAACTTTCACCACGAGCTTCGAGGCTACAGCAGCTAGAATACTGTATACTTTCAAAATCAGAATAGCACCAATTTATTATGCCGTTAACATCCGATTCATGCAAAGCAAATAAAAATGGTAATTGTAGTTAAGGATCCAATTAAATTTAAATAAAACAAAGTTTTAAAACACGATCGAGGTTAATCAGCAATTTAAACAATTGCAGTTCTAAATTTTGATCGAAAGCTTTCGTGACTGCAGGGATTCATATTCTTGGTTCTTTCGGTAAAGTGACTTTACCGAAAGAGCCAAGAATATCATTGCAGTTCTACCATGTAGAATATGTTACTACATAGCAAATACCCACAATACCATGCTTGGAGTTCCTTCACGCTATCAATCTGCGAAAGCTTTATAGCTTATCAGATTCCTCCAGTATAAATAAATATTCTGGAAGAAAAAATAATTCCTAGTTTTTGGTTTGTTATTATCGCGTGTAAAGCGGTAATGAGATGCCCAGGGCTGCGATCAAAGTATCACGCTTCTTTGGGTCTTTCAGTAAAGTCACGTAGATAGGTTCAAAGAAAATAACAAAAAAAACTACCGATTGTTATTAAGTTATTTGGGTTATTTTCTTTTGAACCCATCCACGTGACTTTACCGAAAGACCCAACGAATATGAATTCCTGCAGTCACGAAAGCTTTTAAGTCAAGATTTGAAACTGCACACTACGGAGAAACGTGCGAACAGCACCCTTCACCCGCTTTCAAGTTTTCAAAAGTCACCCCCCCCCCCCACCGTGAGATACGTGGCAATGCAGATATCTGGCTACACGGGGGGGGGGGGTTGGCTACCTGCGGTTTTTTAAGAAGGAACCGCTGCTTGGCCACGTTATTTATTAAGGACCACCGTCTAGTATTCACCACGTGCATTGCAGCCCTTGAAATAATTTACGGAATTAGAAAAAAAATGCCCCTCGTCATTTTGCTTCCCTTACGAATCGGCACGTTCCAGTCACATGCATACTTGTCCACCTATTACAGAGACAACTCGTGCAAGGTCCAGACTACCTTTACCATCACCGTAGCACCGAGGAGCCACGCAGGAATATCATCTTAGTTGTTTACTGCGGTCGCTTGGCAAGTGAACAACGCCAAACGGCCAGGAACAAACAGCACCGTTGAACGTGTAATAGCTTAGAACTTGGCGTATTACATCGTACGAAAGAATACAGCAGTAGCAGGCCAATCACAAGGGTTAGGCTGGAAACAGTAGATGTATGCAGAACTTCTTTTGCACCGTTCAACATACATACGTACACGTCTACCGTTTCCAGACGTAACCAGATGAGCCACGGGGACACTCAGAACTCCGGCGATTGAGCCTGGCCCCGTTTGGAGCGTATTACACATCATGGGTTGCGGTGGCTCCACTTCCCAATGCCGTTAAAATAACATAAAAAGATGCCATCTTGAAACTTGCCACACGGTATACATTTTGCTCACGGTCGACGCGAGAGAACGGCCTGGAAGGCGAATTATTATTTATTTTGCCTGCTGTCGAAGAGAGGACAACTCTGATGAGGCACGAGGAGGCACCACGGACAGGTGGGGATTTGGCAGCAGTAGCCAGGCGCTGGAGATGGCAACAACACAACGAATTCCCAACGCTTTCTGAGACGGATTTCAGCCAAATGAGCGCGTGTCCTGCATGTTGGGAAAACAGTGGAGCACGCGGGAGAAAACTCACGCGCCGTTTGGGGGTAACGCTATCCCGTACGGATGGAACAGGTGGAGCCACATTTCAGCTATACCACATTCTCCTGGCAGGCACCCACGACGGGGTGGGAGGGGGGGTAGAGAGTTTCACAACATGTCTGGCGGTGATCCACCAACCCTTTTTCTCTGCCTCTGGTGCTGGGTTTACAGGCATACACGCCACCGCCGCCTGGTTAGTTTCAAACACTAAAAAAAAATGAACGTTAAATTAAGCAATAAATTGCACGCGGTACTTTTTTTTTTCCAGAATGCAGACCCCCGCTGCCCTGGATAAGTCTGCGTTCAAAACTTTAAATGGTGTTGCTGCCAATGTGGATCAATGTTTCCACTGTTGTCTAGGGGTAACTCCACTGGCGGGCATGTGCACCTCGGTGCTCGGTCGAGTGCGCGGAACGGTGCAGGCTCTATGTATGCGAGCGGGGAGCGGTAGTGTAGCAGTTAGCACGCTTCACTATGAACCCGGCGACCCCAGCTAGATTGCTGCTCGCGGTCAACACCATTGACGATAATCTGAAGGTCCTGGGCCTCCCCGAGGTCGACTGCTTGAAATGAGTACCCGGTGCGGTGTGTAAACATCGCCACTGGGGAGACAAAGGCGTCCGGGTGTGGTGCTGGCCACCCACCCCCCTAGTGTGCTTTTACGACCTTCATTAGGTGTTCGCGAGCAGCCTTGTCCCTAAAGTCTGTTAAGGCTATACGGGACCTTTGTCTTTGCTGTATGTACAACTTCTTTCGCACCATACGTGGCCAACCGTGCTAAACGTAGGTGCGAAAGTCGCCACTGCTAACAACTAACAGTAGCGACGATTGAACCAGTCCTGGGCCTCCCCTAGGTCGACTCGGTCTTAAATGAGTAATTGGTGCAGTGTGCCAACGTCACCAGTGGGAAGACAAAGGCACCCATGCCTTTAACACGTACCCACTCGTGTGCTATGCTTGCCTTAATCAGGCGTTTGCTCGCAGCATATGCCCCGATTGTTTGTTCAAAGGCTATACAGGGGATCTGTAATTTTTACGACAGTATTAAAGCGAGGTACGTTAATCAACGAATCCATATTTTTAAAGCGCATCCTTGTCAAGCGGTGCCACAGCCGTGGGGTAGCAGGTTTGCCGCGTCTCGCGGAGGTTCACGATTCGGGTCTAGTGGCCGCCCTGGTTATTACTGCGAGTGTATTTTAACCGTAAAAACAAAGCGCCTTCTGTGACATTATTTCAAAAGGAGTAGGCCACGTGTGCGCCGCATTAGTCCAAATATTACAAGTATGAAGATGTACTTAAATTGGGTAAAACTTATTCACATCGCCCTCCGACTGGCAGACTACACCCACCTTCTGCCAGTTAAGCAGAACTATTTTTTTAAAATGAAGCACTCTTGATGTCTTGACCCTGAAAAGGGCACGGCAGTATATACATGGAATGTAGTTGTTAAATAAATGGAGGGGTTGAAAATCCAAGTTACAAACAGCAGTCAACCCACTGCAAATTTAGCACTTCCACACGTCACCTCACCACATGACCGCCGAGGGGTTATTTAAAACACATTCCTGCGGAGGGAGCTGGTAGGAACGTTGGGTTGCTCGGTCAATGGCCAGGGTCAACGGGCGGCACCACCACGTGGTGTATTCCGCAAATATGCCCGACTGTGAGGGCGGGCACAAGCCGGCGTGAGTAGGTTAAACGTTGAGTTTTATAAGGGCACCACGGGGTGACTAGCCCCTCCCCACCCAACTCCACCCCTCCCACCCCCAACCCCTTCCACCCCCCACCCAGCCCCACCCTCCCCAGCCCCTCCCCACCCAGCCCCGCCCCTCCCCACCCATTTTATCCGGGTGTCCGGATACACGTGGACAGACATCCACAATTAATCCCCTGCCTCATGTGTATAATCCCGGTTGGGCTTCCAGTCCACTCCGTTTCCTACCAGTAATAGATCTAAAGCCGGAGCTTGGGAAATAAATGGGCCGTCCATACCCAGCAGCGAGCGTTGGGGAAACCCACACACTGTGGTTGTTAATCCATTGCCACACTCCCAGTGGTCGCTATTGAATGAGAGCCTCTTTGGCCCAATGCTGTCTCCAACCCTTGTTTGTGCGTGACGTGAAGAGCCATCGTCTGAAACGTCACCCGGTACACATTTTCCTATTATGGCCACGAAGTTAGACGAATGTTTAGATTTTTTTTTATCTTAGGGGTCGTCCATAAATGACGTCACGCGATTTTGGACGATTTTTTACCCTCCCCCTCATCACACGGCGTCACAAAAAGTCAAACCCCCTCCCCTCAAATATGACGTCACAAAGCTCTGCCCCCCCCCCCAAAAAAAATCTAAAACATGCTTAAAATCGCTTTGAACTATTGTCATTGTAGTGCGTATTACATGTGGCGCTGCACTCTGATGTTGTAGGAGACAACATTTATTAAAAAGTCTATTTAATTAAGCAGAACGTGTTGTCTATATTTATTTAAAGTTACGCATTTTGATGTGACGTCACATTTCTCAACCCCCCCCCCCTCCCCCCCTTCGTCACACATCGTCACAAATGTCTGACCCCCCACCCCCAGGTGCGTGACGTCATTTATGGACGGCCCCTTAGCTCAAAAGGGGCCTTAACCATAAGTAACATAACCGAATGAACGAACACGGCTGTAAACAGCATGCCGCCCACCACACAGCCGAGCCGCCGTGTCGTTACGCAACCCCAATCA